CTGTACATCAGAGTTGGATCATTTGTAATTGATGTATTTAATTACAGTTTTTCATGTAATTGGGACATTTTCATTCTGTGTAATTGTAATAAGCTAAATTTTTTGCTCAATTACACCAGGGGTCACCAAACTACGGCGTCCTTTCATCTGGCCCGCAATAACACGAAAATGGGCGAAATATTTTTCCAAGGGGCGTTTTCCAAGAATCGCCTTTATTTTTTATTTCGTAACATTAGCCAATCAGCAAGATGCGATTTCGAATGCTATTCGTTAGTTTTTAGTTGTGTTTTTCAAAATTTAAGTTTGAATTAAATAACTCAATCATCATATTGCCTTCCTAGGGGTTGTAGTTTAATTAATAGTAGTAATCAAAAATTAGTCTAGAAATAGCTGTGATAAAACAGGCTAAATCCATAGGAACTGGCTGTCTGGTTGGATTCTGTAAATTCTTGCTACTCGGGAATTTTTTTGAGTGTAGCGGTAGCGTGAAGGTTAAGGAATGCTTCACTCTGTGTAACGTGTCCATATATTTGAGCATTGCTCTGTTGTAATTATAAATGTATTGTAATTTAATATTTTTTTGCACGGAGTAATTGTAATATTATACTCTGCTGTACATGCAACTTAACATACGGTAAGTTATTCAGTATTAAATTTATAATATTAAAAAGACTGTTGAAGCAACATTTACACACAGGAAGCTTTTCGGAGCAGGTACGAAAAGCAACCCTGTGAAGTTTGTAATGACGCGGTTAGACGAGCGTCCCCTCAAAATATGTTGCTGGCAGCATCGGCCAAAGGTTATGAAAGTTGGTAGTTGGCTTCTGCAAGAGTGGATTTGCAACAACTTTTGCACCGAATTAATTGTAAGAATGGTCAATATAATATAATTTGCAATATTCTTGTATTATATATATACATAAAAATTAATATAAAAAGTAACATGAATGAGGCAATATGCTGTAGTTGGGACAGTAAACTTAATAGTGATTGTTACGCGCAGTAACTAAAAATATGTAACCATCATGAAGCAATTCATCAATAAAATACAAGAGAAGCAGAATCGAAAAACATTTTTTTTTATAAAAAAGGCAAACTTACCGAAAAGTAAAACTAAAAACGAGTAAGGCGAACAAGAAACACAACAGATTTACAGCAAATGCAATTTGGAAGACTCATAAAAGATAAAAATTTTAATACAGTAAGGTGTTATTGACCTGGTGTTTGGAAGAATATTTATTGCGGCACTACTCAATTGTATACATATATATGTCTATTGTACACGTAGCAGCAGGGAGATTTATTTTGTGCCGTCATCCCCACATCACAATCTGAAGCATACCACGTCACAGAATGTAGTTCAGCCCATGCGGACAAACTCGTCATTGCAATTCGAAACCCGTCTTCTCCTCTACAAGTGGACACAAAGTGAGGGATATAAAGTTTGTTAATATCTTAACAGTCTTGAAAAGAAGGCGACATGTAAAAATGTTGTACAACAAAGTAGCCTACCATCACGTTGAGTTAGGCTACAAAATTGAATGCATAAGTCAATGCATGTATCATTCGACGAATGTAGACGACAAGACCATGTACATGCTTGAATTATCTTTTTCAAATTAATGACAAAAAAATATCGACCACGAAAGAGGATGTCGAAACAGTGGGATCACCGCTTACTATCACAGAAATTGAATGACAACGTCCTGCCGGACACTTGATTTCTTCTGTAGATAAATTCCATACATATATATTGCAATTTTACACATCAAGTAGCCTACAAGTAGGGGAGTCAACCTTGACAAATTTAAATAAAGGACACTGTGATACATATATTCCTGATATTTCAAATTAATTAACTACTTAACACGAAAAACTGTATACAGCAGCATCAAAACTAACCAAATATTTGTTATGTTCTATGTCTGTCTACTTGTTATTGCTCATCGGCGACTTCAGCAACGGTTGTTCAAGCTTTATATACGCTGATGTTCCCGGCACAGGAAAAACTAATGAAATTGTTTTGGTGTATTAACACAATCGTGATTTAAAACTTTGAATAAGGCTAAATTTGTGCGATTTCATGGAAGAGGTCATCCACGTTCAAAGCAAATCTGTTATTATATATATATATATATATAGTATTGACGGTTCCATTACATTTGAACCCACGTACATTTGAACCCATGACAATTGCACCTGTATGCTATTGCACCTATGGAATTTTTTTTGTTCCACGGATAGGTAAACCCATACTAACCCTAACTCATGGGTTTTAGCACCCGCATATAGATTGAACCCGTGGATATACGAATGGGTTCAAATGTACATGGGTTGAAATGTACGGTCACCAGTATTGACCGTTGTTAGTTGGTAAGCTGTCGTAGACATACTCACTAACAATGGCAGTTCTCTGAAAACTAAAATTCACGACCTTATAAATTATAATTGGAACTTTTGGTGTCGCTGCTTTGGTCCCCCGCGGCTTGCTCAATATAACTGTGTTGAATTTCCCTATATCTCAATTTCGTATGATATTTTTTACTGACTGAAAAAAAATAAACTTGACTCTGACTATATCTATTTCCCTGCAAGATTTAGAGTTCCAAATGCTCAATTTTCGTGAAAATCAAAATTTTTTCCAATTATGTTATTGCTGCATTGAAAATAAAGAACGAATCCGAGAGTCATTTGTTTTTTAGTGTGAATTGGGGTCTGAAGATGGTTATATTGGCGCCTATTTTAAAGTACTATCAAGTATAGATTATAACGATGTACGCAAATATGATAGAGATAAATTTGAATCCGATAAATAACAATGTTAATACTAAATGTCTTTTTGCGAGTTACAACGCAATCTACATTTGTAAAAAGTTGCTGCACATTATATTCAAAATTCAAATATTTTTTGTTTGTATCGATATTTTAACTCATTTCTTAAATTCTCCAGTTCATACCATTTTAGCACGGCAATTACGAACCCTCCTATCTGGTCTTAAATTTTCGAATCCAAATTTCGATTCCTCGACATCGTTTACCGAGAAATCATACCTATCTAAACAATACCATGATTAGAGTCGATTCCACGAAAAATCGATTCGGGAGTCGTTTTCCCGGACCCAGCAGGAGATTGTTCAGTGTAGACTGCACAGTAAATATTTATTATTTTATTTATTTTTTTAAGTGTTCTGCAGCTCTTATAGTACCGGTAATAGCGATGCTAGAAATAAAAGACAGCGACAGAAAAGTTCAATAAAGGACTGTCCTTTGAAATGAAGGGCGGCTGCAATCCTAAGTTAAAAGAACTACTGTAATTTTAATTATCCACAGCAATGATTTCACTGGAATGCTTGAAATGACATGACCGTTGCAGTCACTAAACAGTGTTACCCCGTTTATGTTCATCCATTGTCTATCATAGATGTGAGCTCATTACAAGTGAGAGGTGCTGAACAAGGGCTGTCTAAATTGCCTCCGCTATGAGATATTCTGAAGCCTCTTTATATACCCTGAAAATGATTTTATTTTTCATTTTTAAATCAGGTTCTGAAAAAATAATGCATGACCGAAGCGACGTATGTTTTCACTAAGAGGTGCTCCGGCTGCGAGTCCGTTACCAATGACCCCAAGCTAGGTTGTTTTGCCAATTGCTATATTCTGATATTCAGGTATTTCAGTCCAGACTTCGCTGTAGAGTGTTTTCACTTGGTAAAAATGCGAGAGATATTTTATTTGATTATGACAAATAATTATGACCTTCAGATTATATGATTCTGGTTCATCGATTGCGCTGTTTGGATTTCACATTCGATGGGAATGCTGGAATGACTGAACGAGAATGAGGGCTCGCACAATCCTGCTCTCGTGAAGGGCAATAGGTAGTAGGCCTACTTCAAGACAGTTTTATAGACCTATGGCACTCGGGAAACTTCATCACTTGTATACCGGTACCAGTATCTAGAATTCAGGGACTTCAGAAGCAAGTACCGTATTTCCTCGAAAATAAGACCTACCTTGAATTTTAAGGGTGATTTTAATACAGTAATAGAAGAATTCTCCTTAAAATAAGACCTAGTCAATAGCGCAAATTTTTTTTACCTAATCGATAACAAGAAATTTCTCCCACACGTTTTAAATGATTAATCTAAAACATGTGATAGAGGAAAATGTGTCATTTAAGTAAATGGATACCAGTTTTTATATTTGAAAATTTTGTAATTAGCTACTTTGTAATTTTGTTTTTAATAAATGAAAATAAAGGACATCCCCTGAAAATAAGCCCTAGTGTTATTTTTTGAAAGAAAATTGAAGAAGACACTGTTTTATTTTTGGGGAAACACGGTGATAGGTTGCTGACAATCAGATAATAGACGCACATTAAACATCCTAGCGACACCACTGATAAGAGGTTCCTTTTTTGTATACTTTTTCAAGTTCATGGCTGACAAATGCCAGCAGCATTATGGCATTCCAATTGTACAAAATAGTAAAGAATGGTAAGTATTCCATTTGCTCTACCACAAATAGGGTTCAACACCTTTATTCAATTGACTAAGTAACCGCTGATATAATTTTACGGGCAATGGTCAACACATATCTCATCATATGCCTAAAAGCTGCAGTGGAAGTTGAATTATTGTTGTCCATAAATATATTCATACCTGACAATATCCGTAATCATGTTTATGTGTGGGAGTATTACAAATTATACAATGCTAATAAAATGCACAAACAAAACGCAAAATTGGAGCAGGTCTAATATCTGGAGTGTGGTTTAAAATATAAAAATTACACGCAATCACCCATCAATAAAAAAATAAGTGCAATGACCACAATTTTTTTCAAATTAATATTTGTGCAAAATGGGAATGTATCTTACAAAAACATAGTGTGTGATAGATAGGCTATATAGCTGCAGCTGCATTACATTTTAACTTTCGAAGTTATTTATATCAAAATGACAAGCATTTTATATGGGACTTATTTTTTTATTTATTATGCTGAATTTAATTCTAATCAATTTTGTTGTACATTAAGATCTAACTATTAAAAGTATTAAAGATGTGTTCATTACTTGAAAATGGCATCCTTCTTGATATCAGTGAGCAAGCTCCTTCACCAAGTAAAGATTATATCAATATGAGAGTGACATTAAAAGATGTAAGACTATTATTTCAAAATTGTTACATTTTATATTCCACACATTCATAAAGTCTAATCTGATGGTAGCAATGAGTGATACCCGGCAGCAATCATTTTCTCATGAAGGTTCACTTTGAAGTAACAAAAATAACTGTTTAGAGTAGTTTCTGTGGCTTATATTATTCATTATGATGGTCTTTTATAAGAAATAGGGGTAACAAACTGAGAATTGTTTCTAAGTGTATTTCATTAAAAATGCCGCAAAATTTATCAAGAATACAATATATTTACTGAGTTGCAGGCATTAATATTGACTTGATTGACATAAATCCAGCAACATTGCATTTTTAATATTCCAGATTCAGTGGAGAACTTGGAAAATTAGTCCCCAGTGCCTGAAACCAGATGTCCTTGTCACACCAAATGAAGCTATTTTTCCTCTTGAGGATTTGGTGCATGATCTGGATTTGCAAAGTATGATTATCAATTCTCAATGCTTATTATATTTTTATTTTAACACAACATTATATTTTTACTCATATTTTTAACGCAACATATCCAAATTTTCAATCCCATGAATGATTTTTTACTTAAAAAACATTATGCTATCGGTTTCTGCTTTACACGTTTAAGCCTAATTGCATATTTCTTATTATTAAGTTGTTTATTTTGAACTAAAATGTTTTAAAAAGTAAATTTTGAAATTTTATATAAAGATTTAATACGAAAAATTATGGTGCTAAGAATGCTTATGACTCAAAATTTTGTTGGTCATCTCATAACCTAAATAAGAAGATATTTTCATGGTTTTCATTTCCCTAAGCTCTAGTCTAGAGAGTGGAGATTGGGTATAGCAATAGTGGACATGATATGCTATATCTTAATGAGAGGATGGGCATGGGATTGATACCAGAAGGTTGATCAAGTCAGGGATGTGGGTCATCCTCATCTATCTCGTCACATTATCAAGATCCTTAAAAAACTCATGATATCTTTTATAATTAAGAATAGCATAATCTCTTTCCACGAAATAGCAAGTAGCATAGTCTAACTTCTTCAGACAAAACAAGATATAACCTAATCAAACATATACTAGCAATTTCATGGACAGACATGCTATCCTTAATTACATTTATATCACATATCTCGTTCAAGCATCCTTGTGGCAATTGACACATAAGGATCCGAAATAGGAAGTAAACAAGGAAAAAGCACTTGCAGTATAGTACACAATACTCTCTGTATTGATAGCTCTTATAGTCAGAGGTTCATTTTAGTTTTAGTTCAATTTATTACTTATAATTATCATGCGTGTGTGAAGCCTCCAACAATGGATATGAGAGATACTTGTTATGACAATTATCTTTGTGTCCTAATTTAGGTGAGATAAAAAGAATATTTGGTAAAAACACGCTTGAGTATGTTAAAAACTTATGCGAAGGAAAGTACAACTTCTTGGATAGACTGAAGAAATCATTGCAAATCTACATTATATCGTTCTTGGAGTTGGAAGATGTTGCAAAGCTATCTCAAGTCAACAGACATTTCCATGAGGTTTGTATGAAAATGAGAGCTGAACATTATTCGAAAATAAAGTCATTGTAATGGATGTTCAACATTTTCTGTGCTTAAAATTTCACTGACCATCACCAATCAATGACTGAAAGTACTCATTTGACTGTTAGCTCTTATTTGTGTAATATCAGTGTTGAAAAAATAAATTTCAAAAAGCTTTGCCAAGAACTTCAGTTATGATATCTATTTTATATGTTCAAGTTTTGCTATTTTAATTCAAATATCCTACTCATTGTATATAGAAAGCAAACCCACGTCACCAAAATATTTACAATCTTTTTGTGCCGTATTACATCTTTACATGACAATAGAAAGCTTTTGATCAGGTGATTGAGAAAATGGGAAGCCATCAATGTAGTATCAAGTTTCATGATCCTGGCTCCACCATGTATAGTTAATTTATTTTGATCAAGGAATGACGCATACCTCCATTTGAAATCTCTGGCACTATATGAAAGATGTTTAAACTCAATAAATATTTTCTTTAGCTTTGTGAATGTGATCAACTGTGGGAACACATTGTTGATAGATGTTGTGATACTGTGACTCCCGACATGAAATTATATGCACAGGAAGTTGGATATAAACAGGTACCTGATCAGAAGTTTATTTTAGAGTGTTTTTATAAAACTAATTTAACTATCCAGTAGTGCCATATTGCTCATTCATATTCGAAGTTTTAACAATAAAGTATTTTCAATTCAGGCACGTACAAGGTATTTTAATCTTTCCTTAGTTGTACGATAAATTGTGCCCTACGTTTACCTACCTTTAATTGTAAATTCTTAATGAAACGATTACTTTGATTATCAAATAAACGATACACAAACTAAAGCCAAATATCTCATCAAAATGACTATTGTAAAAGATGTACCGTAATAAGACTAACTTTAGGTTATAAAAATTGATCTTAGCCACCTTTCATTTACAAAAGACTCCCTGTCTGAGTTTTTAGGAACATTGATGTGAGATGTTAACATTTTTCAATAAATGATTAAATTCTTTTGTGGATTTAATATCGATAGATACATGCAAATATTGTATTTTAAGACTTGAACCAACTTGATATTCTATGTCAGGTTAGTATTTTAAGATATGAAATTGCTCATGTTGTCAGAATTTAAACAGTTTAATAATTTATGTAGCAAATATTATGAAAAAATCTCCTATATTCTAAAGTTAGATGTTTTTGGGTTAATATTACGTGCTAAAACCGATATGCTGGAGACCTGAGTCATTGTGTATTATTATACAGCCTTACAGATATCGATGTAATTTTAAATACTTCAATAAAAAGCTTCACTTGAATGAATATTAGACTAGAAAGTAGTAAAATACAACTATATATTTTAACTTTATTGACACAGACTTGTGTAAAGTTGCACTGATATGTAGGATCAGAAGTTGACTTTATCATAATGCAAAATTTACACAGAACACATTCCAACAGTTTTATACTAAATTCTCAATGAACACAAAGCCAATTTAAATATGACCCATTGTTATTAAATACAATACTCAGTATTCATAACATGTTTTGTATCGACCAAACTACGTATATCTCCACACTTTTCAATCAAACATGAATATTCGATTAATCACATGTTTCTTTTGCAGATGTTTTTCACAAACAAATTGCAGCTTCAGATGCAAATGCGTCGCCGCAAACAAGAATGTGATGCTTAAGTTGTACGCAGATGCCAGCAGCATGACATAGTATATATATTATACATACCCCTGATTTTATGTGTGTTACGGTAACTATAAATAGCTTTGCTTGTGTTATAAACAAATGATAGTATGAAACTTCATACTTCAAGTGTCATTAGTTAAATCTTATCACAACCAGTTTTGTTCGAATGACCTTCAGATTTTTATGTGTGTAAATAAATTACCTAAAGATATTTCAAATAATTGGGAGTGGCTCTGATTTTGTAACTTTAAAATAGAAGTTTTGCAGTTGATTTCATATATGTACTCACTGTGGTCACATTCATTCAAGTACAATAATTCATACGAGCTTCTTTCATTACATTTTCTGTTTAAATCTTCATTCCTAGTGACAAAATTGATAGAGCTAATCTATGATATGGCGATCCCAATTGCTATCCAGATTTCAAAATATATTGAAAATTTTGTTTCATGTGACTGTTGATTTGTTTTTGCTTGGTTATTATTCAGCCATTTTGCTTTTGATAAAACATGATTGTGAGATGTATATTGCTCTCATTTTATTGCATATTATATTTTGGTACTAATGATATAGAAAAATGTGAAATGTTTGTGGTGTTATATGTACTGTTGTACCAAGGGTTTATTGTGTTACTACGCCAGTGCTTCTTTACCTGGGTTCGATGGAGCTGTTCCAGGAGTTTGACAAAGGTTCTCTGAAAGAGTTGTATGTATATCATGGAACCTTCCTATTACCCAGCGAAAATAACTACAGTTCATCGCAGATATTTACACATTGAAACAACTCACAATACTGTGTGTAGCTATCGAAGATGTAAGTTTTAGTGGACCTGTAAATCACTGTTACATCTTAGACTCCAGTTAAACTTCATCGAAAACTCATATCGATGCGCTTTGGTGCATTTTCTATTATACTGTATCTCTTCAAATATCTTGGGTTGTTATAATGTGGGGTTTTAAGCTAAATATTTGCGTCGCTGGTCCCCTATTCATAGTCTACTAATAAAATTGTAACTCAAGTTTACAGACAAGTCGAAGATAGGAAGTAAGTGTACATAAATATGAAAGTAATAAATTTGTGGCAAAGAATATTTTATTGCACAGCTTTGCTCAAAATTATAAACATTCGTTCTGGACAACCTCAATAGGGGTCGAGTCATCTCATTCCAAAGTAGCCATATCAGTTTTTCGCTTTTTCACATCAACATTGTGTAGAATAGCGCAGGGGTTCGGCAGGCTCACAAAGGTTAAGAACCAATGTACTACTCAAATAAATCAAGGCTAAAAATATATAAACTCAAGTACGGTATCCAGCGCAATCTATCATACATTGTGTTGTATTCACTCACATGGAAGCTATGTCTTGGAATCAAAACACATAAGCGGTTTTAATGTGAGAGTATGATCAGACAACCTTCATAGAATACCGTATATTAAAGTTGCAGTTTCACATAATCATCGGGAGAGAAACAAATCTATACTGTAACCTCATTCACAAGCCCAATCGAAGTAGCACAATTTGTGTTGTTAGAATATTTATTATGGGAGAATTAAAAAAGTAAAAGATATTGTGGTTATAAATTGCCTACTGACCCAGCATTATAACATTGTAAATTAAACAATAGAGCTATCTGGAGCATTTTTGGAATCCCAAAAAATGATAATCAATTTAAAAATCTAATCAGGTGAATAATAATAGCAAACACCCCATTTCTTCAATATGAAGTTATTCTATAAAGAATAATCATATATATGTAATAAAAATCATTGGTAGAAGGAAACATCCAATTTTTTGTTTTGCTAACTTTCAACCTTACAAACTGGACAATTTGCGATCGAAGAGTTACGAGTAAACAAGTGCAGAATTTTGATCTGTAGCTTCTGGGTATGTTTGGTTCACAAATCATCCAGTTATATTCCAGGAGTATGGCCATTTGCAAAGATTCAAGTTTAATTACGTTCATGTACAATTTAAAACACATTTCGCCAGGCCATCAACTTCTAATTAACAAGTGCAACTAAAATTCTAACATTGTGTGATTGCTTTATTAACAAACACATTGGACAAGGTGTGCCAGAAATGAATAGCAAATTTGAACCTCATTTGGATACATCATCAGAGAAGAATCACAGTTTTGAAGGACAAAATTATATGACGCAAAATTGATGCCAATAATTACTTATAACCAACTATTGATAATACAAATATTTGATGAAATGCTAAAATTACTGGAGTAAATTTTCTAAAATTCTGAATAGTTAGTGCTGATTAGCATCGCTCAAAAAGGCATGTATGCTGGTGGAAATTTCACTGGAACCCAGTTGATCAAATGCTGAGATATGTGACTCCAGTTCAATTCTTTGCAAATCTGAAAATACATATTCGGTGTTTGAAAATAAAGTGAATTTCGATGAATATAGGAAAAATTATATATTTCCAAATTGTTTTATTGATTTTCACTATTCAATAATATATCACCTTGCATTCTATCAGCCAATATTTCAGCTCATTATTAGGTTTTATTTATGCGATTCTTAGAAAAAATGAGGTTGCAACTTGCATGTTTTACATCACAATAGCATTTAAAGGAGACTATTATGTGGATGACAAGTATTTCCAAACATCCAACATGTGTTATTGATGGTCGTTACTGTTGAGGATATGTTAGTGGTAAAAATAGTTGGAAAGAATTTGCAGCATTGAGAAGTGGATAGAACACAGTTTCATAAAATTATATCAGGAACAAACCTCGCTGCAAGAAATCTCATTTTCTTTTGTTGGTTTTTCATCTTGAACTCTCAATGCAGCTTTCAAAGCAATACCATAACATTCTGTAGAAAGCCCGAGCTTGATCATGAAATTCAACATCTAAATTCGGAATAAACAACTCTAAGATTAAAGAAATACACACATAAACAACACTTTGAGGCATAGAAATTTTTACTGACCTGCAGTGGAATCCCAACTTTGGTATCCCATGTGTCGACAAACATTTGTAGTTGTTGATAAGTTCCTTGCAAATTACTGATATCTGTCTTCATTGCGAAATCACTAAGTGGAGGAGATGGAACAGCAAGGGAATTAGCTGAATTGGTTTGATCTGAATAAAGAAGATCAGGCATAAGTGAAATTTAAATATTCTTGCATTGGCAACAATGATCCTGGTATTGCTCTTGCGCAACATTCAAATTTTGCGAATATCAATGTTAACTAACATATCAAACTCAAATTAGATTGTGCGGAAAAATCAATAAGTAAATGCAATCTTACTTGGTTGAACTTGCAAGTCGCCGCCTTCAGACTGGGGCCATGGTACCACATGTCTAGTAGTAGAATCAGTGGATTGCTCGGTGACAGCAGCAGTTGGGTTGGGACTAGGTTCACCACTAGGTGGTGGCAAAGAGACATGACAATCCGATGAAGGAGGAGTGGTCTGTTGTTGCTGCTGTCGTTGTTGTTCTTCACGTTGTTGCTCCTGTCGGTGAAATAATTCTTTCTTCCTTTCTAATATTTTATCAGCAATTGCACTACCTTTTCTCAGTAATGCAGTGACCAACCATGACTTCTGTTTTTCTGTCTCCCTGTCAATTAAGTATTCAATGATATAAAAATGAGACAATTTTCAGAAAATATTCAAGTGCGTCAAGAAAGAACCATGATCTATTAACTTTGAAGCATGAAATAATCAGAGAATGACAAAGGCAATCTGTGTTGTGTAAACAATGAGTGGAAGATACACTAATCCAACTTTATGGTTAATCTCTTTTGTAAAACCACATGAGGAATGAGCCTAATAGAAATGGCAATATCTCATTCAATAGCAATAGCAAGGTTTGAGTTCATCCAGGTTTGCACATATTGCTTGGCAGGTGGAAGGGAAATCTCCATTCCTGATACATTGCACTAATTGTCAAGAAAAGGCCAGATTTATATAAACTCACGCTTGTATTGTTGCTGCTTCTGGTCTAGGATCAAACTTCAAACCAAGGTTAGCCGTTAAAGATTTGACATTAATTTTTGATATCACATCGTCACATGCTGATATTATTTCATCCAGTTTGGTCAATCGATCCTGAAAGAATGAAAAAAGAATTGTTTTCGTTTTTTTGCGGAATGAAATCAGACTATATTTTAATTAATCATTAATTTAAACTTAATGAAAAAAATATTTATTTTACCTTTGCACAATCTAATGTTTGGAGTTTAGCAATATACAAAGGAACATGATCACTCCATTGTTCGACTAATTCATCAAAAATTTGCAGGTGTTCATGCCTGGAAAAAAGAATCGTGTTTCAATATAAAAAAAAATAAAAACCTATAAGCTGTAATATCATAAGTAAGCAATTCATGAAACTGAGGTGATTGGCATTGCCAGTGAAATACGAAAAATATTCATCAAATGCCTGTTGATTCTTAACCAAACATTAATAAAGGGATTAAACAACGATAAAGTCTACAATACAATGATCTGTTTTGGTTATTATCAGTCATAAACAATGTGCAATAGGGGCTCAAAACAATCCCATGCCAATTAGTGAGCCACAAATATCGAACAATGAAACGGGAAGTCGTATAGCAGCCAAATACTGTAATGCAGCGGTTTCCATAAGGTTGACTTATTTTTTTAGCATTTCAAAGCAAAATCAGGCAGAGGAAGAATGAGTTGACATTGCCTTTATTCTTTGGGCCTACATGTTTTTAAACTTTAAAAGTCATAAAGTACACATTAACGATCACAAAATTGAGTTTTATTCGAAGACAGCAATTCTTTTTTTGTGAGCAAGTGCGCCTGATAATTCGGCGGCACACTAACAAAAAGTTTGGGAACCCTAGCTATATTGCCTAGTTTTATCACTAACTTTGTTATCCATAATATCTTCATGTCCCGTTCTTCTTCTTTTATTTTTTCTTCCTTTGTCTTTTCTTGAGTGCCATTTGCACCCACAACAGCTTTTTTAACAGCCTTTTGCTTATTGGGTGAATCTCCCAGGATATATTTCACTTTGAAACTTTCCTGTAAAATAAAATATAACAAAATGAATCCTGATACAGTCAGATTATGCTTGATGAATCACAGCAAAAAAAGAACATCTCACCCCTTTCTTTGCAAGATCGGATTTTGCAAAATTCATAGTGCCAACTAGGAAATGTCCTGGTCCAAGATGTTTTGGTAATCTAAAAAATAAATAAATTATCTGACCAAAAGTTCTTTAATCATCAAATATCTACAGACAATAGATCAAATGTATTGCTAAAAACCAAAAAATCGCCGCATAACAAAACTTTGGTTTATTGAAATCATAATTGACATTCATTGAAAACTCGTACAAATGTCAACTTTTCGCAATCTCCAAAATGGAGAGAATTTCAAGTGAAGTACACTGATGGAAATCAAACATAAAATATCAATTAATAGAAGAAAAAAAATTGTTCTTTATGTTATACATTTTGTAAATTTATTAAAGAATTTACTTGTCATCTAAAATAGGGGCAAGATAATAAGCTCTTGTTTCTTCTGGGTAAAATAAACTGCAAGCTGTTTTTGCTCCTCCAATGAGAGCCTCCTTGTGTCTGGTATGAACATCTACACTGATAGGTGATGCCAGTTTTTGTTTAAAACAGAACGGAACATCCTTCAATTTTTCAAGAACTTCTTTTGATTCGTGAGAGATTTGAAATCGCAAAACATATGAACCTTTTTCTAGTTTGGTCGTGTACTGAAAAAGAGATCAAAAATCCTTTTCATTAGACTTCCAAATAAATTCACCTCAAAGAAACCACCCAATTTGTGAATATATAAAATAAATTTTTCCCAAAGCAAAATTATGACTCATATCAAATCTCTATGTAAAATTTGCCACCTGAGCAAATATTAATCTGTCTTTTGAGGCAAGTTTGTATATGATTCAATATTGTCAAATTTTTAGCTGTATAAACTCTTAGTGAATTAATTCACTGATAGCACATTATCCCGTTCAATCAAAATATTTTCAAACCTTGTTTTTCTGCATTGCGTGAACATTTATAACGACAATTTAGTGAAAGGTTTATTATAAAGAATCATCACTTACCTGATTGGGATAAGCATCACCAGATCCCATATATTGTTTAGTACTGCTGAACAACATCCACAGCTGGCCACAGTACTCACTCTCATATAACACATCAGACAGAAGTGGACAATATGGAGTCACATCAGCAGCCTTGTACTGTAAAAATGTATGGTTGAAGAAAAACCTATAGATCTCATCAGAATATTATGTATTGGACACAGTATAACGATCACTTTCAAATTAAAGTACTACCCCATTGATACCTTTGTTATAAATGAAAATGCTTCGAAACGAGGCTTACCGCAACGTAATTGTATGTGTTAATCATCTCATACATAGGTCGATCTCCGGGAAACACATCACGACTACCGAGTGGCCTGATTTGGTGGTTACTCGGTCGAACAGACTGGACAGAGTGTTTTAAAGACACAGACGGAAGAATTTCAACCCTTTTCATAGTACGGGCTTCTATTCTTTGAATACCATCGAATGCTTGCTGAAAACAGAAAAAATACAATAAAACTCACACAATCTAAAAATATAATCAGAAACGTTCCAAGAACCTTCAAAAGCAAATATTTACCCCAATTTAGGATGTGGGACAAAGTCGTGTGCATTGAAAAAGTTATACTACTTTGGAAAAGATTGAAATTGATATTTTGCAAGTATGTTAAAAATGGAATGATACAACTTTAAGAAAACAAGAATTGGAAGTGAGAAATAAAACAAATGCAGATATATTTACCATAGAAATTTCATTTGAAGGTGATAGCTGTATTCCGTGAAACTCAATTTCATATGACACATTTACTTTTCCTAAACTTGACCACCATCTAGCAAGGCATAACTCAGCAGTTGTTCCTGGCTGGAAAAGAAAATTGGGAGTCAATTATCAATTAAATATACAATGCAGGTAATGCGTTGTGTGAAATTCGAAAAATAGTATTACTGGTCGAATCTGGATCTGCAATTGAATTTTGTGAAGATAGAATGTTCCAGATGTTCAGTAGTTGTTGGAGAATTCAAAATAATTTTACCCAAGTAGAATGAATATGCATAAATTATACCTTTGTTGTTTGTAATAGAGAAATTAAAAAAGCACTTACGTGAACTGGAAAAGACAACTGTGTGCTGCCACATTCGTAAATTGTAAAGAACTTCTCAAACTCGTAGGCACGAAAAGATAACTGAGGTAAGAATTGCACGCAGTGGAAAATGAACCTGCAGTTTTGATCCGATGTGTGACTCCGAATAGTTATTTCTGATAATAAACAATTCAGTATTGCCAATTAGGCATTGGAAGTAATATAATTGGGAGAGTGAGTAACATTCTCTCGGGTGAGATTTTTGACAACACGAGGCATTACTCGAGATAAAAATATATATTTCATATGAAAAGCATAACTTCACGATAACCACTTATTTCAAAAATAAATATTAATTTTATCTGACCCTTGGCAATATGTACAATATTCATAAAAGTACACAACAATGGTAACTTGAGAACTCCCAGCCAGACATATTCGGTGTGCCAACGGTCGTCAACTTAGATATCAATATATTTATAAGGATTCATCATACATCCAAAATTACTAAATATAACAAAATAAAATTATGATTTTTGTGGCAAACAGCGAATTCTGATATAACTTATATTTTCAAGCCACACCTGCTCTGTTTGCATTTTCTGGAACATGAACAAATCTTCTGTAAATTTGACCAGGTCTAAATTCACATGGTGACACTATGACTTTATAGTCATTTTCTTTCGGAATCCTGGTTCGGCAATATAAACAAAGAAAATATATTGGCTAATGTTAAATTGGAAAAATTTAGACCAGATGTTCAGTAAAAAGAATCTCTGTCAATGTCTCAAGTCTATTTTCTATAAATATAAACCAATTGAATTCGAAAAAACAAACTGTAGAATATGCTAACAATTTCCTTTTTGACGATGTATAGCATAACAACTCTAAAGCCAATTATCTAAGTGCTAGCAATGATCTGGAGTCTCAAGTAATCAATTCCTAATGCTCATATATACAAATTACAAAGTGATGAATTGGCAGAATAACTCACATTTCAGGTACCATGACAGTCACAGGAAATCTAAATAAAGGTCCTCGTTGTGGTGATTTGATATCAAAACCCTGAATCTCTGCATAGTGGACTCCAGGAGGCAAACCCCTAGGATCGACCTGTAAATATCAATAAATAAGTTGATTGGTGTAAGCCATTGAGACATCTAGTTTAATTATTAATATTCATACCTATCAAATATGCTTGTCTGAATTTGTCGGGAAGTTAATTTTTCCTATATAGAATTAAGGTAGTACATGAAAGTAAGATATGGATATAAAAGTTTTCAAAACAACTTTATGCCTTCAAAACTCAATATTACAAAAGCCAACGATTCCACTTCTTTTATTTTCCCAGTGAATATGACAGCACATTGATATGGATAAAACAGAAAAACATTTACCTTTACAGTGAAAGATCTTGCCATATTCATACATTCAAAATGAGATGGAGCTGAAACCCATGACATTGTGCTACATACAGCCATATGACAGCTGTAGCTAATTTTTTCATCAGTGTCTGTTAATTGAAATCATTTTTATTTGAAAAAATCAGTTTAGGAAATAATAGAAAAAAGTTAGCAAGACGGGAAATCATAATATAAATTTGAATGTTTAAATCGGTAAAATGATTATTTTATTCTGATTTTCCTCATTTTAGTACTATTACGAGTTTGGATACTGTCTGTGTTAGCCAAGTGAATATACCCCCATCCCCACAGGTTTCAGTCCCTTTACACAACTTGATGTAAAGTAGGCGAACAAAATTAGTTACCTCCCTAATGGTACACACACTTTTGGAGCGCCGAACATATTATTATGAGCACAGCTCAATGAGTTGCTGAGAAAATTGAATGGATTTCCATAACCGAGCAAGTACAGAAGTCATAATTTGAAATAAATAAAGCTAAATTGTGTTGAAAATTAAAGAACTTATAAAAACAAAAATCACCTGCACTTTGGTCAAACTTTGGTTCAACGGTGACAGTGAATGAATGAGGATGAGATACTTGTTTCACACCTCGAATGTAATAACCTGAATGAAAAGAAGCTTAAATGTTTTGGCAAATTGGCATTAAGCATGACCCTGTGATAAATCTAGCTCAGAGAAACTGGTTCATATATTGACCACGTAAAAAGATATCAAAGATGAATTTGAGATGAGACAATCCTGAATAAAAAGCTTGCAATGACGATACATTTGCTATAAAATTTTTAAACTATGTACAGTGAATAAAATATTTTATTTGTAATACACAAATAAAATAACATCGAGAACAAACGATATAAACCTGTGGCCTATAAATCATGCTAAAAGCAAAATTATACCTTTTCTTGCGTTGAATGATGAAACAGTAAAATTGATTTTGTTGTCTGAATAATCGGTGTGTGTTGTTAGATGATGGAATGCTTCATTAGCCTGAATAATACAATATAGAAGATATTTATGATAGCAACATATCAAACCTGCTACCTGGTGAACAATAAAGAATTTACGTTTATACATTGCTATAGTATATACTTTTTATAAATAGCAAACAGGCATAACATGCGTTCCGCACAAAGGAAAATTGACCCATATAGTAAAAAAGTCTAAAGAAATAGGGCTAACAAATTTCCCAGCATTTTGAAAAGTTACCAAACAATTTAAATCTCTGTACTTGTATTAATCCATGTCCTTGAGCAAATATTTCAATGTTATCTTGTTTCAGTGCTGTATTTTCAAGTGCTCGCCTAATACTCCAAGGAGTATATTTAATTTCTTGTGCTTTCAAACCTGCGTAAACAGATTATATTGAATTCATTAAAGCTTCACAATTGGACAATTTGAAAAGGTCTGTTGAAGTCAACAGACTATAGTTACAACATTAAGTGTATGATGCTCAAAATACACTGCACGATATCATTTTACAGTTAGATATTGAGGATCAAATCTGAGATAAATGAACCGACATCAATAAAACCAGGTGATGTTGGTGATGTTCCAAGTTCACAGTCATGCAATCAGTTTGACTGATATTAAAAATGGATTCTCCTTTGCTTCAACTGTGCTAGTGGTATTCAACTGGCAGCCCATGGAGGTATACAAAAATAATTTGGGAGTCCACGGAGCATAAGGCCAAGACAAATAAAAACTAATGTTACCTGCCATTGTAATATAGCTTGCAAAAACTAGGGGTCAATCAGGCTGAAGGTAACACAAAATCTTATTCATATGAACAATTAATATACTTTTTTCTTTAAATTATTTACTCAATTTCAAATATACTTTTGACAATATACGTCTTGGATAGCTCAACCACACAAGAAATTTGTGACAGAACACATTTTATATTATCCTCCGAATGCAATATAATTTCTGTATGCAGTTTTGATTGTTTTTGGTATAGATAACACTATCTTAGAGCTGATTTTATTAGAAGGGGTCTACAACTTATAGAGGATCATAAAAATGGTCCATAGCATCGGAAAGTTTGGGAACCACTGATCATTATATTAAATTGAAAATACCTGATAAGAGCAAAGCGATTGTTCCACATGAATTAGGTGAAGACATAGATGTACCATTCATATGTTGAGTACCATGTAATGTCCAGTTTGGAACAGCAGTGATTGCGCCACCAGGTGCCGATATGCAGACTCCGAGTGACCCATTAACACTATGGAGAGAAATAGAAAAATGCTTGATAGATGAAACCTAGATAACATACAATAAATCTATAATGAAGTCTCAGAAAAGTAATATGAAAGCAAATTTTTCATCAACTTATCCCACCATTTCAAAAGATATGTTAGCTCAATTCCTAAGGGGTTTTTGTGAAAATCTAGTCCCATATTTATCAGTGAAATTGATGCATCAGGAACTATTAATGATTCAATCCCAATGAAAATAAATAATTGGCTGGTGTAAATAAATCGCCACTTATATATTTATAGGATAAAGAAAAAGATTCAAAATGTTTTTCAAACCTAGGTTTAATCTGTTAAGATTATATGATTCATGTTAATAAAAAGAATTACGATACAATTGCAGTATATTTCTGGAACAAGAATATTCAATTGTGAGATGTAAAGAATTTCAGACCATAATAGTATTTTTACATGGGCATCTAAATGCATTTGGCATATTTTAAAATAAAAACGGCTTGGTCCTACCATGGCCCTCTTGATGACCAGGTATATTGATTGGCAGGCAATTTCTCTGACATGGAATATTCAGCAACCATCATTTCAGGAGATACCCAGGCACCAACGCCTGCAAAAATGATTTATTAGAACAACAAACTTTTATTTACACAAAATGAACATAAATACTATTCCACAATATTGAAGCAAACATTTTATGAATATCATTACCATATAAATTTAATCAAACGAAACTCTTAGGACATTGCCATATTGATTGATTGCTCCAGTTCAGCTATTATATTCAGTTATTTTTCTTATTTTGAAATTGAGAGAAATGCATGGAAAAAGGTGAATTGGGATACACCAGACTCAAGTCTGATCTGTGAACAAAAATTCACAACTCCGGAAGAGATATGCATGAAAACACAATTTATAAAGTTTCAATTTCAACACTATCTCTTCAATTTCATTTCTCTCACAAAATATGAATTTTACATCTCACCAATAACACTCTCTGTTGTTCCACCTGGACTTCCGACAGTCGATATACAAGGACCATTGTTACCAGCACTCGATACAAATATTAAACCATGCTTATTAACAGCTTCATCAATTGCAGAAACTATTTTCCTAAAAAAGAAATTCAGTAAGTGGAAAAAGATTGGGCAATAATTTAAGTTTGTCCGAGTAGTAAAATCATGAATAAATTTCAATGCAATTCGCTTTCTGAGGTTTGTACTTTACCAGCATATCAAATATGAATTAAAAAATGATGTATGCAACAGCCATTTTCTATACACTGTTCTTTTTTTCTTGAACATATGGCACACTGAAACTCACATTTGCACAAGAAAATTAAAAAAAAAAAAAAAACTGTAAGCTTGCCACAATTTTAACTGAATTGTAATAATTCCATCATTGCTGATGAATAAACCCCTCACCTGGGTAAACCAGGTACAAAATATTGAGGTAAGGAATAAAGAAAACTCACCCTGAGTTAGGCCAATGGCTTGCTTCCCCATAACTCAAATTGGCCAAATCACATTTGTGCTTAATAACCTCTGACATCTAAGATTATACAATAACCCATTATTAAATTTTAAAGATAAACACTGGCTTTTTCTTAGTTCAAGGATCACTTATTTAATAGCTGTATTGAAAATTAAAACAAAGGCTCAAGAACTGGATTAGCCACTTTATAAATTTATGTATCAAACAACAAAATTTATAACAGGACACATGATACTAATACTAATTTTTTTATTTTCATTATAGTTATTCTGAATCTGTTAGTGCCTAATTTATCAAGAGATACCTACTGCTCTTATAAGACCTGTCCCTGTTTCCATTGTTGCAAGTCTGGAATCACCTATTTTAATTGCTACAATTTGTGCACCGGGGGCAACACCATTTCTTTCGGGTTCTTCGGGAAAATATCCTGCTGCAATTGCTGCTACATGAGTGCCATGTGAACCTGCGTAAACAGGTATAATGAATATAAATACTTCATATTATTTATAAAAAAAAATAAGAGCCATTAGTTGTTAAAAGAAAGAGTATATAAAACATTGCAAGAAAATTTGACTTCAGAATTAGTTTGTGTATAAATTAAATTCTATTGGCATTTATACCTTGTAAAGTTGTAATCAGTGTATATTACAATACTCACACTCAAACAAAGGTTACCGGTAGCAATGAACATACCAGCGTTTGCAACAATACTGAGCATCGTTCCATTCTCATAAATATTGATGGAATAGTTGAACATAGCGCTTCGACTGACTGTAGCATATTTCTGATTTTCTCTGTAACTCGTAAGCAGTGTACACGATTCAAGATTCCCACACAAACTTGTGTCCACACAAGCTCTAGATAAAACAAATTGAAGAATCAGAATCATGATATAATTTGCCTATCGCTCAGACAAAAACAAAATGCAATAAATTTTACCTCCAGGTAGCTCCATCATGGAATACAACACAATCGACAGTCGGTCCTGCATCAGACCAATTTTTATCAAACTTATTCAGTAATTCAACTTGAGTAGTTAAATCATCACGCTCCAATCTTTCAGTCTAAAAAAACGAATTACAAGCATTAAATATAATACAAAACATTGCAAAATGACTATACTTATTGGATAATACATATTGGTCCCTTCACATATACCTATTATTAACAATTTTTGTAATTTCCAAAATGTCTAATAACCTACTAGAATAAATTAAATAAAGATTCAGTCACATCTCTCAGCAATATTATTCCAGTGCATGAAACAACACTACGAAAATTGTAGTTTTGAAACTTTATAGGCCGAGAATTATCAATGAAGAAAGTCACAAAAACACACTGGGATGGAACTGCATGAAATATCATATCTATACTGGATAGGATAGAATTTACATAGCCTATTTATGCCGGGGGAGAGGAAAGCCAATATAACAACTGAATCATATGGCAACACAAACCATGGCCTCCCGTCCGGTTACCATGTCAGGTATGGGATTAGTTAGCCAGTTGTTTGTTTTCGGAAGCATGGATGATGGAGAAAGTCGTAACCGACCAGCGGATACGTGAACCACCCTACGACGACGAGAAGTTCAGCAATCCTTTCGCACATAACTATCCCCACATGGGATTCAAACCTGCGAACCCATGCAGAGTAATCAGAGGTGCGTTGGCGAGCGTATTCCTAACGATGAGACACACAGCCGCGCCAAATATAGCTCAAGATTTTATTAATACAAATGATAGCTGAATATATGGTATAACAATGTGCTGAATAGTTTTTCCTGAGCAAGAGACACAAAAGAGTTGAATGAGGAAATTGCAATTGCAAACTGCATCAGTCAGAAATAAATATATTTATAAATAGACATACAGATGATAAAGTACTTGAAGAATGAGAACTGTTGAACGCCTCTAATTTTCCTACAGCTAGAGCAGTTTTAATTTTATGATGACAATCCCATGTTGCCTCCTTTGTTTCTTTCTAAAACAAAAATAACAATTATATCAGTGGTTCCAAATCATGAAAATCATCCATACACACCCATCCAAAAAAAAAAATTAATTTTTCTCTGCAGAAAATAGTATACACAATAGTTGGCAATAGAACTGCAGAGTTTCCCAGAAAAATACCTCAGTTTGTAATTTGTAATATGCAACATATATATTTTAAATATAATCATATAAAACTTACTGCAAGACGGTCTCTTAGTGCTTTAGGGAAAAGAATGTTGAAATTCTTCATACCAATCTGAAACTTTCCTGTTGGATTTTTCCAAGCTGAAGGAATCTGTAAAAATACAATCTTCAGTTTTGACAATCGTCAGGTTTGATCTAAAAATTCGATTCAAGCTGATGGATGAGTTGACAAACAAATGACTGTGACTTGAGCACAGTCCAGTATTTTAGTCAGTTGTAGATCAGTAGATAGTAATAAGGCACCTTCAATTTTCTCCCAGTTAATCCAGAAATAAAGCCATTTGCATCGGGTACAGCAACATGACTTGTTTCAACATCCCCACTACCAGTTGTGTCAATGATGTCGATTATTTTAGGGAGACCATGAGACGTTTTCTATAAAACAAAAATGTAAGCAAATTTTGAAATAAAAAAAAGTTCTTCCAGAAAAACCTTTTGATAGTAAGAGAAATGACAGACTGCAGGACTGTGAGTGATGAATGAGAAGGTCGTGTATATTTTCTCAATGCTAAAATTGGTGCTCCCAAAGTATGTGAACCAAGATGGCGGACACCGGAACGTAGTATGTGTAGGTTAGGCCATAATTTCAGGTACAAATACTACGGGAGTCACTATACTACTCACAAATACTACTGGCTAGTCCCCGAAATCGTAATAGAACTATAACATGGAAAAATGAAATAAAATTATGGCCTAACCAGGTACACATACTACATTCCAATGTCCGCCATCTTGGTTCACATACTTCGGGAGTACCCTAAAATTTGAGACACAACATTGAGCTAACGATATTCTGCATGTATATGCAAATTGTTCATACAGTCATAGGACTAAATTTTATTATTTCATAGCAAGGCGAAGAAGATATTCAAATAAATCGTTTATTGAATTGAAAGACTGGACAATGAGAGCAAGAAGTCGCACTGCTAAATAATATTATAAACCAAAAATAAACCTGTAATCCAGGAGCGCCTGGATCAACACCAGAATCCAGAATAGCAATTGTCACTCCTCTTCCATCATAGCAAGGGTGTTTATTCAAGAAGGACAAAGCTCCTGTCTCCCTCTTAGGCACAAGTCCATGTATAGGAAATTCTAGATCCATTGATTCCATTTTATGATCTTACATTAATTCTCTGGTGCCAATGGTATATACCGGTAATCTATTAGTAAAAAGTTCAAATATGTAGCGTAATTTAAAAGTTTAATATAATTCAATTAAATTATTCAGTATATATTTTCACACATTAGGGAGGAGAAAGATTTACATATTCATCCGGGAGAGAGGAAAACCAATACCGGTAATGCGGGTCAATCATGTGGCGGACCACGGCGGGATAAATTAGAATAGGATTTACATATTCATCCCGTACCGGTACCGGTACCGGTAACGTAATGTCCGATTCCGTTTAAATGAGTGTGGCAGGTATTTAGGCTACTTCCTTAATTAACCGTTAAGCGGCCAGCTTTATTTTCTTTTGCGATTTATTTTAAAACTCAAAATAACGTACCGATACCGGAAGGCAATAATTCACTCAAAGGAGAAGGCATTAAAGAAGCGAGTTTTTAACCAGACGAACAAACTGACAACGTTTTATCTCAGTTTTTAGCAACGAAGTGGCTTGCCGTGCGGTGCAGGACGTACCGGTACTCCTGCACGGCACTAAGGCTCCCTCTACCCACAAATCTACTATCGGTACCGGTATCGGACTACCGGTACCGTATCGTGGGGCGAATTGAAAGTAGTTAGCACTTTTTAGGGACTTCGGAAAACAGAGAAATGAGTGTAATAATTTTTAAAAAGATTTCAGATACAGTAGTTAGATTTTATTTTGATCCATTCGCAAAAAATAGCACAATACACAAAAAAGAGAAATGCAAAAAATCTGGAAAGTGAGCAATACCTAAAAATACGTTTATAACGTATTAAACGCGTTCACCCACCGAAGGAGTAATTAGTTAAATATAGTCAAATTTAATGTTGAACATGCAATGAGTGAACCCAAGGCAATAATGTAGTGAGGTTTGAAACGTGGTACAGTATTAAATGGAGTCGCACGTGCTTCATCACCACATATGCTTGACACTTCGAAAAAAGAAGAAATGAGAATTATCACCAATAAAATGTGATAAAAAATATACAGGTACTAATTACCCTAAGACCAGGTGAATATCCAATGATTTCACTTCAGTCTAATAGTTTTATTTGAGAATAACAAATTGGTACTGGTAGTCACTCTGGGAAATATGGAAAGCATAGACATGCATATATATCACATATTTTGGTTTCTATAACAAAAATATGTTAATTAAAACTAAAGGAAGAAATATAGAATCAAATTCATACACCTTTTCCGACACCATTTTGCTCTTTTTTTGAACACTCTACTGAAAAACCGGGTGTGTCCTGGTTTGCTGTCAATAATCCGTTCGAACCAAAGCGATAGATGAAAATGCGCGCTTATATACCTTGGATAACTTCGACAGCGAAGTAGTCTACGTTTGTAAAGCGATTCCTTAAGATATTGTCAGATATCAGTGGCTACTTTTATATGGCTTTATTTGGAGCAAAAGACACAAGTGAGCGTCGTATTATGTCATTATACAAAAAAAAATTGCCCCGCCGGCAATTTTGGACTGGCTACGCTTTTGGGCAATTGCGAAATGCAAGGCATTGATTGTCTGCCCATTCACTTTGTGAGTTTTAACCTGCTGATGCATAAACCAAACTTGGTTAGGGGTCGTACGCCCATTTAAGCCCTGAACGGCCCTCACGACGACGAACATCATAACGGAAGAGTTCGAGAGCCCGTATTAGGCTACTTACCTTCTTAAATTTTGAATTGATTGAAAAGCTCGCACGTTCCGTAAGTTGACAGTATAATTTATCTATCGCCGTTATCTCTCATCAAGACCAAACAGAGAAATCGTGTGGAAGTCAACGATCTACCTCGCCTTGCAGAAACTTCATTAAGACCGCCTTTAAAACATGTCAATAGATATCAAAACACAGCGGCAAATTTCTCAATAATTTGTCAAAGTTGCATGAATTACATGTCTTCTTTTGAATTGGATACACTTGTCGGAATTACCTTTGTTCAAGTATGTTTTGTGTTTTTTTTACTTTCTGGGTTGATTTTGAAGGTTCGTCGGTCCGCAAAATTAGTTTTGAAATTTTAACCGTCCGCAAACTAAAAAGATGGAAAACCACTTCAACTGCATTGTTAGTTGAATTTAAAAAAGTGTTGTCCCGAACTACAAGATGAAATATAGTAAAACGTTAAAGAAAAACTGATGATGGTTAACAATGTTAAATCCGTAATGAACATACAGAAACTGAAATTGTGCTAATGTCCATTCGAAGGTATCTCAACAGAGGGTTTAAAAAGGGCGCGGCTTTCCTCTCCCCCGGGATAAATATGTATATCCTATCCTAATGTAAGGGCTTTCCTGCGAATAACACCCCTCGTTGTCCGTCCGTCGTTTGGATGATTAATATATTTTTTAAATGGAATAATGGCCATTGATTGGTCTTTGCATGTAACATTGGTGATTTTTGCGATATCATCCAGGATCTTCATGGCGAACGTACCTTCATGCTCATGTAAGGAGTTAGTTTCAAATAAACCGAACTAAACTAGGCCACTGTACGAGTATGGCCTAATTTCTCGGCGTGTGATCATTTCTAATTTTCTTGTAACAACCTCGTAAATTCACATCTAAGTATGAATATTTGCTCTCATTGATGCTTGAATATCAGCGTACAGTTTTAATGCATCGAAGCTCTCACTTAAACTAACGTTCGCATCCACACCAAAGCCGCATGGGCAAACATTGATATCGTAGTTCAAGTTTATGAGGATATACCTGGTTGTCACCCAACACACACATACTTGTAAATACAATCAACTCAGAAATCCAAAGTGCGAATTGACCGTTGCTGCGGGTGAAGTCTTTATCAAGCATTGTGGCCAGACCCCGTGCTATATTTAACCTTCACACTGATCTAGGACAATTATTGCCATTATCATTTTTGGTGTATAATATTCAAATGTCTGAATAACAGTAAGAGGTAAAGCTACGGAGTCCAATTTGATCGTTAGAAAATTTTTTTTTTCTAAATTCTTTTTTTTAAGACACTTCTCTATATTCATTTGATATCAATCAATGCTTCCAGCATCCAATACTATTAGTGTAGTTTTCTTCAGGTTATCTTGATTTTCATATTTTACACAGCCATTGATGTAATAATGGATTTAATGGAACCACAAAAAGACATAACAAATTCGTAAGTTTTTTCTAAAAAAAGGAAAAGCAGGCAGTGACAATAATAAAATGGTTGTGAAGCAAATGCAAAAATATTACAATCTCTGAGGCACTTGGAAATAGTAAATATACTGACATGCAGAGCAGCAACAGACACTTATTTTAATAACTACTCATACTATTTTATAATCAAGGAATAATTCCATCCTAAGCGGATCAAAAGGCACAAATATACTAAAAATAAAAGATAGACTATTGGGATTTATATTGCACAGCATCATTAATGCTTTGCAGCTCAGAAATAAAATATAAATTTGCGAGTGATGATTTTTATCATAAAAATTGATAGTTTATACACATCATAGGTTTTCAACTGCATTTAATTCAAAAAACATATTTGTACCGTATGTTTTGTGCGAAAGCAAAAGGCTGTGATGCATGAAAAATGATTAGTAAATAGTACGCAGCATTTACAAATTTGTGAAGCAACTTACCTGGAACAAGCTGGGAAAGACAGAAAACAACCCATGTATGGAAAATAATTTGAACAATACCTCGGATATGAACTAACTCAGCGGTTCCCAACCTTTCTACCCTGTCGGACCGGTAAAATTAGATTAAATGTACTCGCGGACCGGAAAATATTGAAATGGCCGGAACAGAAAAAAATAACATATATTTGCGTAATATAATGCAATGTCGGGCACTCAATATGCTACTGGACAAAAAAGCACATTTAAAAACATTTCACACGGAGAAAAATTATCAAATAATGTGCCGACCAAAAATTAAAAATGGGTGTAACATAAAATAATATCATATATTTGCGTAATGACATGCAGTGCTGGGCACATGAGAATTTTGCTGCCGTTTCGTTTCCAATACAAGATAGCAATCGAGGCCTCAAAGTTTTTGCAACACGTAGCTCTGCAGCCGATTTCTTTGCTTCGTTTTAATTGAATCTAGCGATGAAAATGTTTTTTCGCATAACGCAGTAACTGACTGAAAGACGGACAACAGTTTGACTGCTCGATTGCCTGGCGATGGGTATTCGTTATCAAGAGATAACTAAAATTGTGATAAGTAATTCTTATTTAATCTGAACGGTAAAGTAGAATCACCATTTTAATCGAGCCCCTTCTTTTTCATTGGGTTCATCATATTAATCCCTCTGCAGTTGATCGTCGCCTCAAACTAAATGAATTTGCATTACAATGACAAAGTCGTCGATAACTTGGCAACAGGCTCAAAATCCCACTGTGTCTGGAAAAGATCTCTGCGGCCCATGCCTTTTTGCGCGTCTCGCAACAAGTTCATATCTTACTGGAATATTATACTGTTCTTGACTGTTTTCTGGTTTAAACAAGGAGATATGCATTACGTTTTATATATATAGTCATATTAATCAGGAAAAGCACGCAGAACAGAAAAAGCACGCGTGCCGATTTTTAGGCTTTAAATTTTGCGAGATTTGATGGAGCGCATTCACGATGAATCGGAGCCGGAAAAGCGAAAAGTGTGAATGATCGGCGCCAAGATGTCGCAATATGACGGCGGAAGAGAATTGCGTGATGATGTCGCAACTTTGTCTACGGTAAAGCGATCGAGACGGCATAAAAACAACAAAATTTCTCGCGGACCGGCAAAAAAGCTTCGCGGACCGGCGGTTGGGAACTACTGATCTAACTAAACGAACATATTTGATGATCTGCATTTAACTCATTGTTCTTTGGATATGCATAGAACAATTTTATATAAATAGGCACCACAAATGAAGAATATAATTTACAACAGAAAAAATGGAATAAAAATAGATTGATAATTTATATGCAAAAATATATCAGCTCTTAAACTACTTCAGATATTTGAGTTATATGATCTTCAATACTAGAACTACTATTATTAGACTGAGGATGTTTTTCTGTATCTTGTGTTTTAAATAAAGTTGCATTGTTTGATGATACTTGCTTTAATCTTGTCCATTGATTTTTGCTTCGTTTCACGGCAGTGTTGTGCTCTTGCATTTGTTTTTCCAATGCAATAATTTCACACCTGTTGAAAATATGTTTCTGAGCTATGAAAAAGACGAAGTTCGAGAGAACATTAGTAAACAAGTACAAAATATTCAGATCTATATGTGACCGAAGTCTTCATATTGCCAAGCTTGGTCATGGATTCTGCAATTACTGCACTTTGCTTTTTTTTTCCAAAAGGAATTATATACCGTACATTACATATAGGAATTGTCAATTTTGTAGCCGAGAGCAGGAATGAGCCTGACTTAGCCTTGCACTCTTTTCAAATTAGCATATTTAAGAGATTCATACAGACACCAGTCCTTCAATAATTATTTTGTAACAGTTGGCCTGCATGTATTCATTTCCATAGAATTCAATTTATGACCACTCAAAATTTCAAAGGAACTGGTCCAGTAGTTATTGAAATACACAATTTTTTTCATGATAACAAGAATGCAAAATTATAAAACCATTCATTGCTCCACTTCATGTCTAACTAGTCTGTTTCAGTTTGTTTGACTGCGAAAGCTATTTATTAACTTTTCCATCACACACCTGTAACACCCGAATCGCTATGTTTCTAAGGTTATGTGACCAGAGTAAACGATAGATGTTCAGTTTGAGCTATTATGGGGTCATTAAGTAAATGATTTGCCCGTCCTCACTGAATTGACTTTGGCCTATTACATGCGACCATACGAGAATAACCAACTATAGGTTGTAATGTTATAGCATGCAAAAATACTTACTGTAAATCCTTCAAAGATTCCTCAATTTCCACAACAGATGCTGGCAGATTTCCAACAGATAATCTTGTGCTTGGGGTTTTGGATTTTGCTAAAATCAAATATAAAAGTGTCAGCTTTTGTTTGTCTCAGAGTTGATATACAATATGACAATGGCATATGCGTCAGAGGGACGAATGTTTCAAATACACACTTTTGGAGTTTGGTTAAACTTCACTGTGTTTAAGTGATGATTAAAATTTTACCAATTAATTCTCAGCACGAAAACTTTAAGACATTTTAAAATTGCAAATTCAATTTATTGCATAATATTAACAATAATTTAATTTGTTTATCAAGATATTATTTATACTCGTATTTGAACCAATATTTGGTGTTTTCACAAAGAACCGCAGTCATATACCATGCAAGACTTGTAGGTAATAATTTTTTCAAAGCAAACAATGTGCGACCACTTACTGCCAGAATCACCGTCTCCACCAGGTGAAACTACATCAGCGATAAATGTTTCCGAACTCGCACTATCATTGAAACTCCCATCAAATGAAATTCCCTAATAAGTGAGAAAGGTTATTTTCAGACAACCAAAAAACAATCCTTGCATGCAAACAGACTGTTTACAAATGTGACACAGACATATTTTTCATATTGAACTTATAAATATTGCAAATTTTTCTCATCTGCTTTGGCAAGTTTGACTGAAATTTATCATCAGGATATGATTTCTGCTGTAAAGTTTACATCATATATACCCATCCAGCAATCACTTTGCGGTTACAGCCAGCGAACTGAATTAACGATGACATCTGCTACACTATTAATACAAACAATGAGAACTTAATAATCTCAACACATGTACAACACTGATAAATGTTTGTATTTAGATATTCAATTAGTATCTGTGAAGAGAAATGGCTCGTTCACTCACAAACTTTTTACACAGTAAGTCTTCAGGAAGACTTTTTAAATACATGTGGTTATATGGACAGATTAAATAGGCATTTCATTACCGAAAGATCGCAACCGTTCTCAGAAACAACGGATTTATCTTGTGTTCCTGTTATCCACGATAATGATCTCAAGCTCGTTTGCAACCTCCTTGATCTCATTTGATATCTATTCTTCTCCTTGAGTGCAATGTCACTTAATCTGGTTTTTTCAGTAAGTTTGACCTGGGCAATAGAATTAACCTAGATAACTTGGAAACTGTGGAAGAATATTATACCAGGGGTGTACAAACTTTTTCTACGAAAACGACTGCATTAAGTCTTTTGTAGAAATACTGCCGCCGGTGAGAATGAGGTCTATTATGAGGTATAGTCATATTTAGTAAAGAATTGGTATTTATGGATTTATCTCATTGGCTTGTGCCTAAGACTTTTATGAATTGTTAAAATTTAGAACAATTCACTGAACAAAATTTCTGGGGCAGTCGAATAATTCCAGCGAATTGTATATATTCAAATTGTTTTAATTTTTATTCGGAAGAGAGGCCAGGACACTGAGGGTCGATATCCCTTGCTATGGATTTCCATAACAGCCATGCGCCAACTTCTCAAACATAAATTCTCCCATTAATATAATACTTCTTCTGAGATATTGCAAAGGAATGACGATGTCACAAAAAATGATGATCTCAAGCAAGTACGTTTTATGCTCATTTTGTGGATAAAACACAAACCATCACGGCCGCACATCTCATCTTCTACGGCCACAGGTTGTGCACCTCTGAACATAGAAAACTACCCATGAATTTTAGCCCTTACCTGTAACATTTCCACTGAAATTCTGAGTTGTTCATTAACATCAGTTAAACCCTGTAATCTTTCATTTAAATTTGAAACTTTCGATTGCAAGATTTTTCTTTCTGCCAGTGTTTTACGCCTAGTATCTTCTGCTTGTAAAGCTGACAATTTCTTGACTTCATAGATTTCATTCTGTATGAAGAAATTCTCAAATTATATAAAAACTTGCCTCAAAGTTGAACCTTGGAAAATCCATGCGTGTAAGTTATGGACGAATAAAAATATACCAAATTAACTTGCTATATATTAGACTCATTGCATTTATGACTCAGAAATTGGTGAAAAAATCAATTCGGCCAAAATTTTCATGTCCTTGAGTAACACGTAACTTGAGGTGTACTAAATACTGTGACAACATAGCAATTAAAGCAGTCATTCCTACACGGAAAAATACTTTTTGCATTTCAATTAAATGTGCAACATTGTTTAGATGTATTTCTTAGAATACAGAAATGAGGCAAAAGAGATACAAACCTGAAGTCTGTTTATTTCCTTTAGAGATTTTCCATCTTCCACTGGTGAATGTTCTTCTACATTGGCAGCAGAGGATGAATCAAAACCATCTTTTTCCAAGGCAATAGCAGTTGTAGGCCTGATCATCTTTAGCTCAACAAGTAAGTCACTTATCCTGTCTTCAGCACTTTTGAGTTTCCTTTTTAAAATGTAAACAGTTTTCTTATAGGCTCTAAGTTTTCGACTTTCCATAGTCCGCAGAATCGCCATAGGTGAAGGTGGCTTAGCAATCATGTCGTAATCTGTATTAGTCCTGTTAACAGCTCCGCAAATATCACACACAACATTTTTATCTGAATTTTCTTTCGACACTTCCGAGATTTTTACAATTTCTGGATCATTACAGATTTCCTCAGGTTTTTCATTTTTCCCTTTTTCACCTGTGTCCCAAAGAAACAAGTTTGATCTTGCTCCAACCGGCTCATTGTCATGTTCGGTTTGTGAAAAAGCATCAACAGTAGAGGATGATTTATTCTGCAAAGTAATTGTTTCAAAAGCATGCATTGTTTGCATCCCTTTGCTTTGTGCTGCTTTATCACCAGTAATGTTTTGAAGTCCTTTAAAACAAAATAAAAATATACAAACTAAAATATATAGTATCACATGCGAAACTATTAAATTTTAAGTATAAGATACATTTATTTCAATAGTATAAATTACGAGAATTTCAATTCAAAATTATATTAATAAAATGAGTTTATACCTCAAATATTTAAAACCAACATATGATAATTTATGAATAATAAACATTGATACATACTGCTTATTTTCTTCAAAAGTTTGTCGTTATCATCCAGAGCATCATTTAATTTTTGTGAGAGAATGTCGGACTCTCTTCTTGAATACTCCAATTCAACTTTGATCTGATTGGCACTCTAAGAATCAAATTGAATCCTTGAAAACCACTAACTAACGAAAGATTATTAAATACCTAGTGTAGTACAGTAAAAGTATTCATTACAAACACATTTATACTAGCATAAATGTTTCATCCTAGTAACCAAATCGCAATGCCAGAGTTCAAATTTTGCAGGTAATATTTGAAATCAATTCTATTGCGTTTAAAAAAATTCACAAAGATTAAACTACATGGGTTTTCTCACTAATCAACTCATGGTAAAAGCAATCGAAAAACTGAAACATTCATCATAGATGAAATTGTCGTAAATGAATGCCATTTACATATTATTTAATGTTGGCAATGTCAATGGAAGTCAATATTTCAAGATGATCTGTATTAACTGAATAACTTACATGATGACTATATGCTGGATCTTCATTATGATCAGTTTGTGTCGATGAATCTTCTAGCAAAGATGAATGAATTTCTTGTGGTGACGAAGCCAAGCTTCCATCGTCATGGCTAGTTTGTGTCCCTGAATCTTCTAACAATTTTGTTTGTGATAACTTGAGTTCTGAAATAAACATCATTTTTTCAAAGGTTTTTACTGAAGTGAAAAATTAGAAACAGGTCTAGTGACAAACTGCCGAGATAACAAGAGCTACAATTTATTGATTTGAAGAAATGATTAGTAAAATCCATTCGAAGCAAAATAGGAAAACAGCAATTGCACAAAGGAACTCATAACAATTTAGAATGGGAAGAATACGAGGAGAGTGCGAGACAATTGGACAAACTTATTTATGATGCATTGACTTCTATGTTTTGTATCAGATTCCCATCAACAATAACAATAATCAACAACAATAAAATATACTGAAAATTATTACCATCAATTGTTGATTTTGCATGCACCAGTTCTTCCAAAAGTTGGCGGTTTGTAAGCTCAAGTTCCTGCAGACGAATCGCTGCTGTTTTTCTATCTGACAACAAAGTTACATTGTCATGATCTGTTTGTGTTGAGTCAGTTTGATGTAATAGAGATTGATTTGCAATTGGAGCAGAATCATGGTCTGTTTGCACAGAAGACGATAATGAATCGTGTTTGAAACTTTGTTCTGAAAAAAATAAATGTAATTTATTTATGAATGACAAAACTCATATAGGAGAAATTTTATGTTATCAATAGGGCTAATTTGACAAATATTATCATCACAAGTGATTCAAAGAGTCCTGTTGCACACTAACACAATTATATTTCTGTAACATTTCGTCTGACCGAGGTCAGACTTCCTCGACCTCAGACACACATATTTTGATACCTTGCAAAAGCAATATATGCATTCGATTTCACAGGCACAAAAGTAAGAAAAAGGATAAGTACCGGTAGTTAATTATTCATAAGGAATTTTCAAGTAGAAAATCAGTTGCCCACATGTTTAAGCATCGTGTCGTCAGGGGCGGACACTTTCCATAATTTTGGGGGGGCGAACTTGGATCGCCTACCGAAAAACACCGCGCCGTGTATCGTCACGTAACAATAACCTGTCGATGTCATTCTCTAAGTATTAGCATGTCATTTTGTTACTCATATATCGATTACCTAGGCTGCTTTGCTCGGACACGGAACTTGCGCGTCACTGAACCAATTTTTTGAATTCCGCGAGAATTAGCCCACGGCTCTTGCTAACAAACAGAAAATAACAAATTTGAGGAGTCGTATTAGGTTATTGTTTCAATTCCTAGTTCTGCATAAAGCGCACTAACGCCGTTTCGTAAAATTAGAAATGCAAAACAAGGTAACAAGCTATTGTGCGAATTTTTTTCCTAAATTTTACCAAGGAATTATCATTTGACTAGTAGAATTGCCATCATTGCCGATTTATTAAATCATCATTTGAACTCGACATAACATTCAGGACTCACGCAATGACTTTGCAGGGTTTTTATTTATAATTTAATACGAAAATAAACAGGCACAAGTTACGCCATTGTTAAAAGAGCCGACTTTATCAACGAAAACTGATTTTTCACTTGTGCAAAGTAATCAATCGAAGACCGACACGGGCATATTCAAAATGTCTTGATTTATTAATTTAATTGTCTTCAATTTAAACTGCGGTTGAGTCGACAAAACAAGAGCCACTCTAAAACACGACGGCAATCTGCGGACATAAAAATGTGTGGTAAACTGCCCGTTTATATATTGTTTTGATCCGTATTTTTGCTATTTTGCGCATTCGATAAATTTGAGATGTACTTGTCACACTGGCTCCGCTCAATCGCAATGTTGTCACTCCGATTATTTTCAAAGATGGAACCTTTCGAAAAATCCGTAAATTTTCTGTCAGTTCTCACGTAGTAAAAGTTATTTCAGTACAATAAAAATACATAAATAAATACAAAAAGTGATCGAATATACTTTAATTATCTTATATATCATCACAAACCGGGGAAAAGTCGCGTTCTCAGCTTTGTTTAATGTTAACACGAAAATTTTCGACGTCAATTTAAAAGTAATGGATAAAAAGGCAAATCCCGCTCACAATTGACCGTGTTTCGATTTTAGTGACGAAATGTTTTTAAAGGTCAAGCAAACATAACTTGTGCCGTAGGCACACGAAATTTTGCGATTTTCGATGCCTAGAAAAGCGTTTTTAGACTGTTGCGGGCCTCAACAAATCTTATATTGTTTACAGTTTTATTTTTAGTATTTTATATTTCCGCTTTTCAACTTTTCGACATAGTAAATGCTTTGATCTTTGCCCGCAAATTATGCTGGGCCTTGCACGAAATCCATAACGTGAAAAGATACGTCCAGCGGTGAAGATTGTTTATAACAACTTTAGATCTAGTTAATTTTTTAGCGATAATAATTAATTGTTATAATGAAACACAGTTTGCCTCTTTCACTTCTCTCGCAAGTGCCGACAATAACACTATTGAAAGATTTTGACAATGAGAAAACCATGTTAAATTGTACAAAAATGAATTAGTTGTGCAAAACCGTGGCGCGTGATCGGCGGTGCGTTTGAAGACGGAGTATTACCCGTGCGGGCGCGCATGTTTCACAAAATTGTGAGGTGCTCCGAAGGCGATCTGGTCCAAATTATTGTAAAAAAAACATTTATAATATCGGTAACTATTAACCGTTTAATTGCGCTTGACTATCGCACTTTTCGGAAATGATAATTTTGTAAGGCGGAAACAACATGTATTAAATTTTTTTTTGCGAAATTATTGGGGGGGGCGATCGCCCCCCCCGGGTGTCCGCCCCTGCGTGTCGTGTCAATTGAGACTAGTGTTATGCATAACTCAAACTACCCACTATGTTTAAAGTTGAAAGCGATCATCGGAAGTCCAAAAGTTACTATATATATTGTGTGGGTAGATAAATTGATCATTTTAAACAATACCTGATAACAACATCTCTGATTGAGACAATTTTTCTTGAAGTAAAATTTTTTCCTTCTGTAATGCATTTAATTTTTCATCATGAAATGACTTCAGTTTCGACATCATGTTTTCCATTTCATAGTTTATATTCTGAACACAAGAAAAGCAATTTTTTAGCTTGCTCTAAGAAATACAATACTATCATTGTTTATAGTTTGTGTTTCTTTCATATCAACACAGTAGAATATAGCATAGAAATCTTCATAGATAATATAAACAGAAATTAGATTTGTACGAAACAGTGAAACTCCAATAACAAATACATTCAATTAAATACGATATATGGTTTTTATCATTACCGAAGTTGATTTTGAATAATCAAGGGAGTATTTCATTTGTGACTATGTTTTGAGAAAATATTCATAACATGAAAATAAATTCTTCGCTGCTGTAAATATGATTTTTTATATGTAGGACTGGGCAAAATATTTGACTGAGAATATCGGTCAGAGACCGGAAACTTATCGATCGAAAGTTAGGGGATCCCCCAAAACAGCGCTCTTACTCCATAGTGACACCTTGTGTCCCATCACTAATTAATTAATAACTCGCTAATTATACGACATAATTCGCCCAAAAGGAATAGGCTTCTGGTCCGAGATAAGATGAATGCCCATGCAAAATCTGGAGCAGATTCAATCTCGCTTTCGCGAGATATCGCGTGCATCTAACAGACAAACAGACATACATACAGACAGACAAATACCTATCAACATACTTACCGATAAAAATCGATAAGTAATAATTATAATATATGATAACAAAAGACCTGTGCTCAGTGTGCTACAATAGGATTACTTGCCACTCACCAAAGTGACCACTCAAGAATTTCTTGAAAATATTGGAATTATTTGATTTAATAAAAATATAAGATATTGCCTACCTTTACTCATATGACAACCATATAAACCAGGGGTTCCCAAGCTTTTAGAGACAACTTTCAAGTGTTCAGTGCGACCCCAGGTCAATATATATATTTTCATGAAACTTTAGAGCTTCTTTCACTGGACTTTTGTAATTGGTCATGTGGTGGCATTAAGTAAAATAAGCTAAAACCAAACAGTGATGTCACAATAATCACCTACATTTTCTATAGCATAAGCATATAGCGATGCTTATGGGCCTGTTTTACAGTAAGCCATGGTACAAACTGCTAAATTTAACATGTTTTGTCAAATCTTAGATGTTTTGTACATCCATCCTCTACCATACCTCGGCGACCCCATGACCTGTTTGCGAGTGATTGTGACCCCTGGTTTGGGAACCCCTGAAATAAACAATCAACATGCTGATACAGCTTGAAAACCACTATTTAAGAAAGAACAAACCTGTCCCACGGGTTCACTGTCATGCTCAGTTTGAGTGGATGAATCTTCCAATAAACCCAAAGGAGGAAAATGAGATATTACGTCATTATCACGGGACGTCTGTGTACCAATATCTTGCAATATTGAACTGTCTAGTTCTGTCCAATCTATAATCAAAATATCAGGATGAGAGTTGATTACATTTTTAACACTCTGCAGCTGAGCAATTACTTGATCATGCAATTGTACAATTATCTTTAAAGTTTTGAAACATGATTTTTTTTTGAACAATACCCAACTATGTAGCTTGTAAATATAACAGCAGGTTTTCCTCAAACATGAGCGCAGATGAAAAATCACTGGGACATTTCACAAATCATGACCATTCAATGTGTACTTCATCTATAATTAAAACTCACTCGTGATTCTACTCTGGAGTTCGGCAATAGTTTCAGCTTGCTGTGTATTCTCTTCTAATAAACGAAGTTTCTCTTCTTCCAAATATGTTATTTCAATATTCTCTGTCTGATATTGTTCCTGTGATATATCATGCACATTTTAATTCTAGCAACTTATAATTAATGCATTTTACATTAAGTCCAATCCAATATGATACTATTACACATACAAGTGACAGACAACATTTGAATGAAACAAAAATGTAATATGATCTGTTAATAAAACACTACCGTGCAATATCCAACGCTTTCATTATCATGTTCAGTCTGTGATGAAATATCAGTTTTGTTAGCTTCAATCTTTTGTTGCCATGCACAACTTTCGCACACCACACAAGAAGTTTTGTTGTGATCAGTTTGTGTGAACATCTCAACACAAATTTTGACATCTTGTCTAGTTTTGATTTCTAGAAAGAAGTCGTCTTTCAATATCAAAGACTTAGATATACTTGCGTTAATTAGGCTTGTTCTTTTGTCATTTCTTCAAACACTGATATTAAAAATCACGGCAGATATCTTGTATTATGAAAGTTATATAGAATACCTAAAAATACTGGCCTAATTTTGATTTGAAGATTTTCACACTTTTGTAAATTTCTGCAATATATGAATAGAAGAATCAAATTCAAACATAACTCCACCCAATGCTATTCGGGAAACATACAAGTTGCCAGAAATACAAGTAAAATTTTAATTACCTTGTTGTTGTTGATCCATCATTTGTAAAGGTGTTTGTACAGAATAATGGTCTGTTTGCATTGATGAATCAATATAAGAATGGGAATGAAGACCTTAATACAAAACTTCTTCTAAAATTATGATTTTATGATGTTGCTTATCATCATAGAGACAAACAGAATCCAACAATATGTGTATATTAAACCTTGTGCCTCACAGTTCGAAACAAAAATACAGTTCATGCTGATTTTGCAATTCAATATTCCAAAAGAGCCTTCTTATTTCAAAAGTTTTTCACATAGTTATGACAACATGAAAGCCTACCAAGAAATAAATCACTTGAACTTAAGCGACATATCATCGCAATGTTAGGAATTGTAAACTACAAGATTGCAAAAACTTATACACCAAAGAAACGTAAAAAAAATGATCACTCACCCGACTGCAAAAGTTCATTTCTTATTCGACTTTTTTCATCTTTTACTGAATGTTTAATTCGTAAAATTTCCATTCTCATTTTCTCTGCAGCATCTTGAGCCCATTTTTCATATTGTTTTTGTAACGATACTGCATATTGTTGTTGTCTCATCACAGTGTTTCTCAACAAATCAATCTCTTTCAGTAAATGTGCTTTTTCCTCTGAAATATGAAATCAGTGAATCAGCATTGTGACATTTCCAAACTGTTGCTTACATAGATTGAGTGGCGGAAAAAATCAAACCGAATGCAGGTTATTAACTTATTATATAAGATATCTAAAACAAAAATATATCATGCCTGTATTAAAATTTCGGAATTAATGACAAGTGAATATTCTTCAGACTGCAGAAAGCAAAACTGACAATTGGGAAAAGTAATTGATTAAGAAAAATTGACGCATGAAACGTTGGAAATCTGCACCAACATTTAAGAATTCAAACAGAAATTATTGCACCTGCTAATTGACTGATACTTTCAGTTTTTTCATTATTATAAATTGCATTAGTAAGTTGCAATGTTACACTTGATAGCTCTTGCTTCAAAATATTCATTTTTTCCTTTGCAATGTTGTACTGGGATGTCTTGTCTTCAAGTTCCTTATAAGCAAATCACAAAAATTAGTGATAAAATATAATATACTAATAAAATGCGCGACCTTGTATGTGAAACAAGATGGCGGATACCAGAACGTAGTATGTGTACCAGGTTAGGGTTAGGACGTAGTTTTATTCCAATTTTCCTTATTTTAGTTCTATTAAGAGTTCGGGGACTAGCCAAGTAAATCCCTTAATATTTGTACCTGAAATTATGGCCTAACCCTAACCTGGTACACATACTACAGTCCGGTGTCCGCCATCTTGGTTCACACACATACTACATGAGTACCGAACAAAACACAAAAAGATATTTACTTCATGACTAGTTGAAAATAGTCGATGAGAGGACGGGTGTAATCACTGTTATTCAATCATATGAAAGATCACAATAAAAATTTTTAATGTTTTGAAATTGACATAAGAACCTTATTTTTGATTTCTAAATCTTCACTTATTTTCCCATCCTGTATTTCTAAAGAACCAAGTTGTTGTGACAATACATTGTTGTGATCTTTAATAACTAGCAACTCTTCTTCAAGTTGATGTCTTGATTTTTCATTTTCTTTAAGTCTCTACATCAACGAATAAAATTCATTATACTTATTTCAGGACTATTGATGTACAAAGGCTCAGTTAAATAACAAAATCTGCACCAAGATAAATTTATGAAATTTTACTCAAGATAACCCACATACCATTAAATTCAACAACTTTAAGCTCTTTTTAAAGCTTTGGGCTAACTTACTTTGCCTCATTAAATACAAATGAAGATAAAAAAAAATTCATACATTCTAACAGTTTTCCAAACGATTATTCATACATATATTAATATAACAGGCTAGAAATCTGTCACATGCTCTGATCAGTTTCCTTATCGTCCCAATAAAGAGGAGTCTTTGTAAAGAAAAACTCGTAATTAAAAAATATATTCAATAACCTTTTCCATTACTGATATCTCATCTACTAATTTCTTTTCATTCTCTTTTCCTTTTATTCTCAAATCATCTTCCGATTTCTTCGCATTTTGTTTTTCAATTTCTAATGATTTGAGAAGTTCATCAATCTTAGAATCAGCTTTCAAATTCAGTGATGTTAAATTATTGTTATCCTGTATTAATTGTTCCTTTTCATGAGATAATTCTCTCCTGGCCGACTGTAATTCAGACAAAAGTTGTAACTGATGAAGAGAGTGTGATTCTTGTTCTGCATTATCATCAGAGGATTTCAGTGAATATTTGTGATTGACCGATTTCATTTCTTCTTCTTTCGAAACAATATCTTTTTGCAATGAATCAATCTGAATATAATCAATTAAACATCGAAATATAAGGAAATAGAAAGTTGTAATTTAAACTACTTTTCAGCAATACATCATAGATATCAACATAGTAGAGAGATCATAAAAGTGACTAAACCCCAGAATTTCAGCATTCTAAAATAAAGTTGGGTAAGAGTCTTTCTTATGTTTTCTCATATCAGTAATTCATCACAATTACAAAGAATTTGAAAATACCAATTGCAAAAAAAAATTATACATGTACTTGTTAATAAATATATTCGAGTTGAACCTGGTTATCCAAATGATTAATTTTTGATTCCAGTCGCATTCTTTCTTCGCTATGCTGAACCTCATTCCTTCTCATGTTTTTCTCTTCATTATCAAGTTTTTGTTTGTATTTCTCTATGATTGTTATCATTGAATTTTTATCAAGTTCAAGTTGCCTTGCAGATTCTTCCATTTCCTTTAATTTCTTGTTCAATTCAGAAATTGTTCTCTACAAGAAAAATAAACAAAGATTTTAAGTAACGTAGAAAGTAAAAAACAACAATTCTGATTCTAGCTGATTGTTCCCTATTGTACATATGACAATGCTTCTTGTGCCTGATGCTGTGATGAAATAATAGTGAATACATATTTTAATCCCTCTGATGAAGGAAAGTCACAATTTCTGGTTGTTTCTGCTCACAGGTAACAATCATATCCTGACCTCACTGTTTTCCAATGATAAACCCAACTTTACATAATTGTGTTTTTCCAAATTCAACATCTGTGATAAATTGTCATTCTCTTTTGATTTCATTCCAATCAGATCATCTTTTTCTCGAATTATTCTGTAGCATATTAAAACATCTACATTAAAAGTCAAGCCTATCATAGTGGTTGCAATTTTTACCATCAATGAAAATATGAGCCAGAAAAGATTTCCCAGATACATGATTTTAATAACACAAATATACAGTAAAACGAACAATTTATATAGTTAGAAATATATTTTTTTATTAACTTAAGCTTTATTTTGAAGAGTAGAATGGAAACAACATTAAATAATTACTATTTTATAAATTCAACGACATCTTTAGTCATTTTGATAATTGTATATTTAGCTTTTAGTTTTTTGAAGATACAGAGTGTGATGTTTTTGACAAAAATTTGTGGAAGGGTTAATTTTCAACCATATATTTTAATTTATATGAAAATAATGCATTTGGTTTCAGTATAAGATAAATGTGTCATGTTTTTTATAAAACAAGTTATAATTTCATATACAATTCTAATTTATGAATGAGCATTGAGCAATATTAAAAAGTCATAAAGCAAGATGGGTTCAAATACCTTTTAAAAAAAAGAATTGCTTCATGCTATCAATTTCAATAATGGCGTTAGGCTTGCACGTAATTGACAAAAATCAATTCCGAAAATGCGGCAAAATCAATTACGTAATGACCCCGTAATTGCGATATTTTTCCACGCATTTAAACCTATCATAACAACCAATTGAATCCACTTCTTTTCCGAATGGGACATTGAAGTTGGGTTTTCATATTCTTGGCAGTACTACACGCCGGCGGCAGATGTTAAAGACAAATATCAAGGAGTGAATTCAAATTAATTTTATTCTGATTTTTATCTTTTGTGTTAGCTTTGGTTTTCCTTTATCACCTTCGCAAATTAACCGTCCCAATTTTATGCGATCAATTTTATTTTATCATTACCGACTCTGGTATACGGATATTTATGGAAACGATAGTTTTTTGAAACCACCTTAGTACTGGATAAAAATTACGGGTTTCTAATTTATTAACCAACGACGAGCGTATTCTCTCGTTTGATTATACTTGCGATTTCCTCGCGACGAAGACTTGTTTTTGCAGCGTCTTCTGCATTATCCGACATTACTGCCTTGTTAGCATTTTATAATAATAATTATTGATGTCGACTTATTGACGATATTCCGATTACCATGCTTCATTTTACATTTAATCATTTTGCGGACTGAATGTTTATAACATTATTTGCGATGAATTTAGATCAAATATTATTTATTTGCGTATAATTTAAATACCGAACTTATATGATATGCCTTCTCCGAAAATACAAAGTTATATCGCAAAACAATGCATTTTGTGACATTTATTTTACACTCACGACATTTATTTGCTCAAGTCGGCGATCCTATCGGCCAAGATTGACACAAGTGCCGGTGGTATTCAAGTCGACGATAAATCAAAATAAGTTGCCGCATTTGGTAAGACTGTTAATCATATATGGCTGAAATATTGAGAGGAATTGTGAAAAACATCATGAGCAAGGCCAAGTCTGGACTGATATATAACGATAAAACCGTTAACTGAACATCAAGATTTTGTAATAGAAAATGGATCTCGCACAGAATAAACACACTGGCTCATATTTGATTATATATGATAGCAGTTACATTTTTAGCGGTCCGCGAGGAATCCGTCGTTTTGTTGGTTCTCTGCCGTCTCGATCGCTTTACCGATGCCGAGAAGACGAAGTTGCGTTGGTTCATTACGCAATCTCTCTTTTGTCGTCATATTGCTATTTGATAAGCGCGACATTAATTATCACGGCGAGGTATTGGCGCGAGTGATCAATCGCTCTTTTCGCTTATTTGGTTCCAATTCGTCGCGAAAGCTCTTCGTTAAATTTCACAAAATCGTCGTGTTGAAAGGTTATAGATATTTTCCTGTTTATACCCCAAGTCTGAAATAAAACAGCCAAAAACAGTATGATATTCCATGTTCATATATCAAGTGTTGATATTAACAATAAAGAATGGTTAAGCATTGCTAATCCACACTTGGTGGGGAATTCCCACTATTTAAACGCGTGACTATAAAATAGAAACGGAACATATATACCATAAGTAACGGAAAACTGGAACAAGTAAATAATAAAAAAAAGTAAAATGGATACAAATGTTTGATAGACCATGTTTGATAGATTGATCTCCTGCGTTCATTAGTCATTTCACCCGAAGAAGTTGAAACCGGGCGTGTTAGCGTCCATCGGTCTTAACACAATTCTTCCCCCTATCTACGGTTATTATGTACATTGGCCATGGCCATGCTAGATAAGATGCGAGAGAAGTTGAAACCAGGTGTGTTGGCGTCAAACGGCCGTACTCAGTTCTTCCCCTTAACTACGTTGATAATTTACATTGGCCATGCCAGATAAGTTGATAATAGGTTAGTAATTGGCAACGCGTCTTCCTTCCGACGTAACAAGAGAGAGAAAAGTGAGAAAAACGGCTGCGAATACCGGAACTCAACTTCTTCTACTTGTTGAGCTTTCATTTTTCGCAATCGACGAAATTGACTGCTTTGAAGAAAGCTCGTTTTAATGCAATAATTATGACTTTACGTAATTCGTAACTTCCCTTCCGTAACTCCAAATAATTACGTAATTCCGTAATTACGTGCAAGCCTAAATGGCGTAAAAAATGTGAACAAAACGCAACTATTAAATTTCATGGTGCGGTTGTTTCAAAGTTTGAACATGAATATATTAATACATGTGATCTATTGATTTAAGTTCTTTTTTTATGAAATGCCACAGTTACGCTAACTATAATGAATAAAAATGCTAGATAGAAATTATTATACCAGTATCAAAGATAACTAATATTTATTTATATTGCATGTTTTCATATGTTTCGAGAGTTTCCCATTTTTCTGATACTTGGCCACAGCCACAGATGCCATTATACTGATGTTAATATGAGACCGTATAATTGCATATGATAATATAGGGTGACCCAAAAAAACAGTACCCAGGTTACTCGGAACATAATCTATGGGTTCCGTTTTTTGAGGCCACGCTGTACGTGTGAATGTAATTGTGTATATTTAATCTGATCGTTTGTTTTTTGCACTGTTTTGATGTTTCGTGATTTTTTTGTTTTAGTCTGTGCCAAGACATTGCAAACACAGGTTAATATTTTCTGTTCCATCAATTTCAATATTTTGTTGCCGTTCTGCGAAGTCATTTCATTTATGTTACCGATCTGCCGAAGTAGAAACTTAGAAAGGTTGGATACCACTGTTCAAGATACACTACAATCATTTGAGTCTACAACTAACAATTATCCTTACTTTGCACTTGCCGCTTCTGCTTCAATCGCATCAACCCATGATTTTTGATTCGCATCAATATGTTCTTTTAACTTCTCAATCTCAGTTTCAAGTTTTGTTTTTTCAATTGCAGAAGTCCGTGAGTTGGTCAACAACTGCTCAATCTGATCAGAATTTTTATTAGTATGAATTATACTTTTTATTACTTAGGATTGGTACATAAACCTCAATCCATCAAAAGCAAGGCGAGGCGAAACCAAATTTAAATTGAATATACTGCCTAAATATTTGAGCAGAAAAGTGTATCAAATAATATTAAACAAACAGAGCAAATCAGGCATTGCCTTGGTAAATGGAAGACTTGTTTTAGAGTAGAACTGTAACTAGATTTAGACGATTTGTATGATAAACTGCAGGGAAAGAATAACAAATCAATAATTTCAGTATTGAAATCGGATCATTTATATGTATATACTTACTTGCACATTTTTGTCTCTTATCCTTATTTCTGCATTAACATTGCCTAACTTTTCATTTTCAATTGCAAGATATTTCACTTTTTCTTCCAACTCTTGTCTCTTCAATGCATGCTCTTCTGCTAATTTTGACTAAACACAAGCAATTTTTCTAATGTGCATAATATTCACGAATACACTTTTTAAGTTTGATTTAAGTTAAAGGAATATGTAGAAAATAACAAAAAAGTTTTATCTAAACAGCTATAAAGGCATATCGAAATCATCTTGACATAGGCCATCTAAAGACTCACTTTTTATTTAATGTCAAAGATTGTGTATTCAAGGCCCAACCTACAGTACATATTTCCCGCTTTTGAACTTACAATACAAACAATGAAAAATGTATTTCGACTTCAAATTGTGATTGTAGACTTTTTAAAATATGTTTTAAGAATATTCATTCAATAGAGATTATCCATTAACCAACCTTGTCGAGCATTTGTTGCTTTAGCCTTGAAAAACTTGACTCCACTTTGGACAGGTCACAACGTAATCTTGTTACAGCAGAATTCAACTCTGATTTTTCCTTTGTTGCAGAGTTCAAGCGAGTGCTCAATGCTACATTATTTGCATCTATTTCCAGAAATCTAGACTCATGTTTTGTTGCTTTTTCTACAAGTTCTTGATTGATATGTTGAAGATCTGCCATTCTGCAAATGTAACACAAATAAAGTAAAGACAAAGAGATTGGATGAAAATAATACTCTATCTTGTTTCTGCAGTAGCTGCGTTATCCTGGTTATGTTGACAGAAAACAAGACACAGACACTGCAAATTTTTAATATTATGGAGGTGATTACGGTCTCAGATAAAGACATTCATGTGATCAACCATTATTAATAAAGCATGTGTGGTCAACCTAGCAAACTACAATCTGTATGTTGTGCCACCAATTTCTAGACAAAACAATTCTTCAAACAATGATATGCTTCATGAATTGACAATCGGCTATTTCCTAGTTAATATGACAAAAATCCAATTACGCTCCAATCCAACCTCATGGCACTAAATTTCATACATTTACTATTCAAACCGAATTATCAAGATATATATTGGACACAGCTAAGCCACAGTCATAGAAAATCATTTAAATAAAATGCTAGCAAGTTGATATAGACAAAGCTGTTGCGAAGAAGGACGTAACTTCAAAGCTCTCATCAATCCCATGGGAACAATAGATTATATATCAGTGACTATATAGTAACTGTTTGCTGGTTAGACCATGCATGAGGTTTGGATAAATCAATTACTTGACTACTGTTTGGTTGTCCAATAACTCTTATTTCGATACTCCCGTAGTGTGTGTACCAGGTTAGGGTTAGGCCATAATTTTATTCCAATTTTCCTTATTTTATTTATATTACGAGTTCGGGACTGTCTGTGTTAGCCAAGTGAATATACCCCCTGCGCATAGGTTTCAGTCCCTTCACACAACTTGATGTAAAGTATGTGAACAAAATTAGTTACCTCCATATTGGTACACACACATCTGGAGCGTCCTTATTTCTACCCCAAGAGGACAATTTTAAGAGCACACAGCACAAAAATTGTTGGGATTTCAGCATGTACATTGATGTAAAGCAACAAACATTCATAGAACATAATGTTGGTTGTTTTGACATCATAACAACATGTTTCTGAAACCAAGCCTCAGACCCATTTTCACTCCTTCCCCTGGCTTACGTATAATTGCTATGACCGTGATATGTAAATGAGAATGGATTGCTGGTAATGGACTCATCAAGATTGATATCTAGCAGACTATCATACAATAGCAATAAAAATCGATTCGACAGAAATATGAGAAACTCACTTTGTTTCATTTGTTTTGTTTTTGACTTTCAAAACCATATTTTCTTGTTCCGATTCAAAGACTTTTTTACTAAGTTCATTATTTTCTCCTTTCAAATGTTTAAGGTATTCATCAGCACCTTCTCCTTTTACACTTGCTTCCTGCAGTAATTGTTCTATAGAGACATTCTTTCTTGCGAGTTCTTTCAGCTGAAAAACCAAAAAGGGTGATAATGGTTGTAGGCTTGCACATAATCGATCAAAATCAATTCCGTAATTACGGCAAAATCGCTTACGTAATGACTCCGTATTTGTGATAGTTTAACTTACATTGGCACTTGCCAATTTCTCTAGTCATAACAGTATGGAATCATGATGACGCATGTTGCAAGCATCGTGGTACATTTAAATTGCTTGAAGGAGTTGATACTTGTGAACAAAATGAAACGGACAAATAATTTACTAATCAGAAACAACCAAGTGATTCAAAATGAAACCGATAAATTGTCAAGGGAATAAGCAAAATTTGCGTTGGAATAAACAGCTATTTATTGCAAAAACCGATTAAAATGAACATTGTTTTCGTTTAATAATTAACCTCGAACAAATCCGCTTGTTTTTCATCCTTTCGGAACACCAACACAGCTAATTTTGTTATTCAAATCGCCGATTGTTTTCATCAGCTTGACATCGTTACTGTGTCGGGGGGATATTTGGAATCGGAAATTTTCATGCAACAGCTTCTTAAAAGCTTCTCTTTATTAGCGACTTTTTCATTCTTCCAAAAATTTCGTACGTCAGACATTTGGCGTTTCACTAAGGCACATAAATCTCCATCTTAGAAAATTGTCATTTCAACTTCAACGTTTCGAGTTCGTGCAGCACGAAACAGACGGGAGTAAACGCTTTGCGAGATGTTTTCTAGTGCGGTTTGTAAATAATTACGACTTTACGTAATTCTAAATTTGCGACATAACTGAAAATAAATTCCTTAATTCCCTGCAAGCACAATTGCTTGGAAAGAGACAATGGATGTGTCCACAATACAATGTGTGAAATAAGAATATTTCCATTTAAAATACTATATTATATCATTCAATGTCTATATTTTGGCATCACAAAGGATGACTGGCAATGGTAAAACAGCAGTCTTTATTTCAAGCCCAACAATATATTTAAGATAAAAACATGAAATATCAACACATTTAAATAAGGTTATCTACATACAATGTTATTTCTCACACGGGAACATTACCTCATGTTCATATCGATCCATTTTTATTTTGTATTTTTCTAGATTCTCATTCAAAACTTCAATGTTGAGATTTTTTGAGACTTTTTCTGCATTGGCAACATTCATAGAGTTTTGTGCTATTTTCAATTCTGCTTCTAACTTCTTGTATTGCTCAAGGGACACTTTCAGTTCTGATTCATAATCTTCCTGCAATGTTTAGGAAATTGAATTAACAATGCACTACATTTAATAAAGAACTGAAGAGCAGAAGGCTCAGCTCCAGTTCATCATTGTACATCCAAACCATAGATATTGATCTTGATGAAAGTAGGTAAAATGAAGAAGAATAAATATATCGCCGGATGAGAACAGAACAGGCCTAAGTCACAATTTTGAGTTTTGAGAAAAACGCAAAAAACAATTTGGAATTTTTTTATTTTCGAATTTCTAGATATTCACACTTAGTAAAGTCCTGAGCTCTGGTTATTTTAATGTGGATGAGACTATCTTTGTAATCAATATTTTTTGGCACTTCAGATTCAATTCCTTTTTGCTTTTTTACCCCCATAAGAAACTTTGGCCCATTCTGTTCTCAACAACTTCTGAATTTTTTTGTATGGGATGCAAGGTAAAACAAGGTGACTTAGGCCTAAGTTGTACTGAACAAATTTTTAGGGATGTAAGTTTCGGACATTTCATTTCTGATGTTCATGCCCATCATATTGGAACTTAGGACTATCTTTTTTCAATATTTTGGGGTTTTGAGCCATGCTCTACAAGGTGGTGGTCTTGAAATCCTGAATTTCTCAATAATAAAAATTTTAGCTGGACTTAGGCCCATTCTGTTCTTAAATATTTTAGGCCTAAGTCCAGCTAAAATTTTTATTATTGAGAAATTCAGGATTTCAAGACCACCACCTTGTAGAGCATGGCTCAAAACCCCAAAATATTGAAAAAAGTCAATTTTCCAAAAATGTGACTTAGGCCCCTTCTGTTCTCATCCGGCGATATTTTCGCTTGTTATTTTGAATCAATTCCGGAGAGTAAATGAATGAAGCTCATCTTGAAAAGCTAGATTTCAATTTCTCAATGGACAAAATTTCAATTATTTCTTAAATCAAGAAGTAAATGAATCAAGTATAGGTAAGTATGAATGGCTGCAGTTGATATTCATAAGTTTCACTTACAATAAGAGGGAGTCCAGCACAATAAACTTCAGCAGTATATTAATGACAAAAATAATCCACACACGGTTTAATAATAATGTCAGATCTAGAAAACTTATGGCCATATATTACTGAGTATAGCATTGAATATATAAAATTGACCAGTTTGATGTGTTCACAAGTCTTGAAAACATTTGCTAGCTCCCCGTCATAACTGATCTAGATGAACTTTATCAGTGAAACAAACCTGATTTTTATGTAATGAATCCTTCAATTGTTTAATAGTGGTTTCGTAATCTTCATTTTTTTGTTTTGCTTCGAATAGGTTCCGAGATAAAATTTTGACTTTTTCCTCTTGATTATGATATTCCAATTGTAACTGATGTTTTGATGAAACAAGGATTGCAATATCGGCATCTGCCAGCTGTTTGTATAAAGAACCCCTAGAATCAGTGACATTACACAAAAGATATTTGAAAAAAGGTAATTACTTCGTGATACATGTATATAATTTTGGTGGTAAAAACTAGAACATGTTTTAATGTTTATTAGTGGCTAATCTAAAGTAAAATATAAACGATGTTAATTAATATAAAATAAGTAAATGTGTTAACAAGGCCGCCAACCACGAACAAAGATATATCTAAACTTATCTAACTTTCAAAGCTTGTTGTAGACGTTCACATTCAGCTTCAAGTATGGAAGACTTGTTATCTGTTTCAACATCATGATCGGAAATTAATGATGCAATATCAGTCTGAATGAATATAAAAAATATGTAAAAAATTAAAATGATAAATTTTCTCGAAAAAGCAATATGCTACTCACATTCGACTGTTTGGCGCTTTGAGTACCACTCAAAGAATTGCAAGAGCTGATTGATGTTGTGCTTGCATTCCTGCTGTGAAACGCTTCCTTGTTGACGTTTGGTTTTACAGATGGGTCATGGTTGGTTTTATTATGTGAAGGCATCGAAGTGATGGGTAACATAAGAGAGGGAGAGATTTCAATTACCCTTTCACGTTTAGAAGCAGAGGAATATCTACCTAACGTAGTATCCTCAACAGCATTTACGATGTTCTTCATTTTGGGTACCTTTTTGTGAGAATTTGAAGCAATATCTGTTTTTGATGCATCACCCGCTTTGAATGACTCCTCTACCACATTATTTCCAAGATTTTGTGTTGTATTCAGCACAGAAGAAAGAGAGCCAAGATCAGAAATATCTGTTACATCAGATTCAGACATGTCATTGATATCATCCAGTGTAACCATACTGCTGGAGAGTGACTCATCACAACTCACAGATCGCCACAAATCAGGAGTAGATTGGGCATCATCATAAGGCGGTAACAAATTTGTGCGTCCATAATTTGTTGCCCTCTTCCTTCCAGAATAAATTTTTGACACAGATGAAGGAGTGAGGAGTAGAGGATTGATATTTATTACTCTATGTTTCCCAGTTCCACACACTCCAATTTCTTGGCGAGTATCCGAAGCTTGAGTTTTGGGTGATTTAGTCTTTCTTTCTTGCTCCATATCTTTATATTTTCCTAATAAGGATCAACCATTATTTGATAATGAATGGTCCTAACCTATTACTGTTTCGCTTTCACAGTATTATATCTGCATACAGATATATATAGTTTAATTTATGAATTTATAAAAATATATAAAAGATTTAAAAAAAAAAGAAAAAGTCCTACCATGATTCGATTAAAGGCTTTCCTAATCACTATCCATGTCAATTTAGTTCAGGATAAACGGAAACTTAAAAATTACATTAAGACTATTTATTACACCTATGATATTCCATGAATTTAGTATCAGGTTTAGGTTTTTTTAAAGCAAATGAATACTTCGCACTATTGAAAAAAAATTCTGAAATTACACGACATTATTATATTCTTATCTAACAATAATCTTAGTACTATCATTTCCTTGGGAAGAATATTATTATCAAAAACATTGGTGCAATATATTTCAGTATTTAATATATTTTCATAATTGCCATCATTCAAATAGTCGTCCCAATAAAAGACAACAATTACTGAATTATAACAGTGAGTGCTAACCCCTCCTTCACGAGACAGCCAGGGCCTCCATATCTGCACTGAACAATACATTGAAACAGCAGTTCCCAAACTTTTTGTTTGTGTTGTGCCAAATTATCAGGGAAAAAACTCAAGCGCAGTTACAAAAAAAAATTGCTGCTTGTAGATAAAACTCAATTTCGTGATTGTTAATGTGTATTTTAGTATTTGACATTGCCTTTATTCTTTAAGCATACATGTTTGTGTAGACCTAAAGAATAAAAGCAATGTCAACACAACAACATAACGCAATAATATTTATCTTATCGTGCTAAGCGTTACAGCGTTAGGTATACGCTCGCCACCTCTGATTACTCTGCGTGGGTTCGCAGGTTCAAATCCCACTCGGGGATAGTTATGTGCGAGAGGATTGCTGGACTCCTCGCCACCGTAGGGTGCTTCACGTAACTGCTGGTCGGTTACGGCTTTCTCCACCATCAAAACCATGCTTTCTGGCTTTCGAAAACAAATATTTAATTAGCCTAATCCCATACCCGACATCAGGACATGGAATGGTAACTGGACGAGAGGCCGTGGTTTGCCATATGGTTAAGCCGTCTTATTGGCATTCCTCTCCCCCGGGATAAATATGTAAATCCTATCAAAAGAGAGGCCAAGATTAAACTTTCTAAATTTGAACTAATTTTTGGTTTCACAAGTACAGAACTGCAGAAGTAGCAACTGCCTAAATTCGTCTTCGATGCTTATTTATGTTTCCTTTTTAGCTTTGTTTGTTTCAGAAAAATAGCAGCTGATCATCGATTCCCAAACTTTTTGTTCGTGCTGTGCCAAATTATCAGGAAAAAAACTTACCACGCTCTTACGAAAAAAAACTTGCTGCCTGCAAATAAAACTCAATTTTGTGATCGTTGATGTGTACTTTATTCCTTTTAAAGTTTGTAAACATGCAGGCCTGAAGAATATAGTTAAAATGTCAACCCTTTTCCTCATCTAGGCTATGCATGATTTTCCTTTGAAATACTGAAAAAATCACTCATTTTCGCTTAACCTTTTTCACAGCTAAATTTTCGGGGCGCACTGAGCAAATCACCGCGGCGCACTACACTCCCCATTTGGGAACCGCTGACTCGGATGTTATTATTGGGATTCGCATTTCGGCACAGGCACCGTCATCAACTTCGCTCACCGATATTATTTACAACTTTGCAAGCAAGCTTCACCTGTGAATTTTATTTTGTCGTGTTCATGTAGGTTGTTCATGAATTTAAGTCCACGCTTCCGAAAACAAATAACTAACTAATCCCATACCCGACATGGAATGGTAACCGGACGAGAGGCCGTGGTTTGCCATATGGTTGAGCCCTCTCCCCCGGGATAAATATGTAATTTCTATCCCGCGGTCCCACTTGTGTGATTGTGGGTTGAATGGGCACACAAGCAGGTTATAGCGTTTGATATAAAATAAACCTTTCCCTCGGTATTGCGCATTTTCCCGACATTTGCATCGTCATTGCCTGTGTTCTTTATTTATTTTTCTTTCGTGTTTCTGTCTGTAGGTGGAAGTTCGAAGTAGATAGATAGATAGATAGATAGATAGATAGATAGTTTATTTCGAAAACTCCATAACAAACCAAGTAAAATGACATTGTACTGCCATAAATATAGGGTTCGATCATGACCAACGACTAACATACCGATCATGACCATGGTTCGATTGTAACTTGGTTTGAACGATGGTCTAAAAACTCACAAGAAGGTGAAGATGTGCTTCGTACACAATTTTCGCCGAGGACGAGATTAAGTCTTCTTTGATGGCGCTCTTAATACCGAGCAATACAAATCCTAACTTGTCAGGATTTATTATAATGCGAAGGGCATATTTCAGGGTTCTCCCGAAGTATGTGAACCAAGATACTCTCCCACATATGAATACAGTAGTTTGGTCGAATCGCACACTGAAAATGGTACTCCCAAAGTATGTGACCCAAGTTAGAGAACACCGGAATGTAGTATGTGTACCAGGTTAGGGTTAGGCCATCATTTCAGGTACAGATATTACAGAAGTCACTTGGCTAGTCCCCGAACTCGTAATAGAACTAAAATTGAAATAAAATTATGGCCTAACGTTCCGGTGTCCGCCAACTTGGGTCACATACTTCTGGAGTTCTTTTTTTAGTGTGCGATTCGACCAACATACTGTATTCATAAGTGCAGCGCCGGATTAACCATTAAACAATATAAGCACGTGCTTAGGGCACCAGGCAAAGAGGGGCCCACAGAAATTTTAGAGCAGAATTTTATATAGTTTATCGGTGTTTATTAAAATATTACGAGTTCACCAGACGACTCAAACTTCAAAATTTTCGCTTACTTTTTGTCTTCAAGTATCATATTAACCTTCTTTCTTAAAAATAAACACTCACTTTTTTTTGGACACAAAATGGGCCTAGGAGTCGTTTTCTTGAATTGTTGTTGTTTTTTCTTTCTAGTATCTCCTTGCTGCATTTTTGTTTTAAAAAAAATTCTTTTCTTTTCAACAATTGGACCAATGAACTATTTACACTATGTGGCGGTTCCACGCATTTCAACGATCTAGGGGTCACTGGAGTCGGGAGTTTTTTGATAAGGTAGACAAGTGTGGTCCAAACCTTGTCATGCTGATACATTCCGTGCGGCTCACCGAACAATTTTAGCGTATATTTGTATCTAATGGAGGAACGTTTTTGAGTTTTTTTTAGCTATTCCAACTGGGGTTTGGATCCCGAGATTCAAACCCTTTTTCTAACGCTTTGTGCCTTCATTTTAGTAAAAACACTCCTCTGTTTTTTAGCGTGGGCCATGTGACAAGTAGTGACGAAACGCAGAGCCGACTTAACGCCGCGCAATCCAGTTTTATTTTTTAGCTATTTCCCGAAATACCAACTTAGACGGTCTTGGTTGGTATTTGACGATGGCACTAAGCTTGCTCACGCTGCAAGTTTTTAAATTACTCAATACAACCATTCGTAATAAAATGAGTGTCGCAAGAAAGGTGACATAAGGAAGCACACGGCGGAAACGTATTTTCTTGCCCATCACACAGTGTCTGGTTTGATTTCAAGTAATATCTGTCACGAAAGAATATAATTTGAAGCAATTTAAACGCGCGATGCGCAAAATACAACGGTAATTCTCGGGAATTAACTTTAAAACAGACTGAAGGCTTTATATAGCCTATCTTCTTTAAAAGAACGCCACCCATGCAACATAATAATAGTCTGATTAGAACGGTAAACTCTCGTTGTTAATTAAATTTAAAGTAAGTAAAACTAGCGATATTTCGATCACTTTTGGGTTTTCTCCAAATTGCGGCCCGCGAAACCTCCTCAAAAGTTTTTGCGGTCCTTCAACCTAGCAACCTTGAACCACCCTGAGGTAGACTACTAGGGACCGGTAATATTTCAAACTACAGTTGTGACTTGTATACTTTGGTATTTCGATTCACGTTGAGACTGGGGGCATGGATCTTTATTGTCACACTCCCTCAGGATTAGAGCTCAACCGATATATCGGCCCGATATTGCGTGTTTGCCGATATATATATCGGCTATATATAACAGTTAAAAAACCTTAAAATGTTCGTAAAAGTTGTTTTATTTACTGTTGGTTGTGATTATTCTTAATGGATAATACACTTATGTGGTTAAATGTTTTTATAATTAAATTACACACGAGGAGGCACCAAAGTCTTCAGTGCTTGGGGCACCAAAGGGGCTTAATCCCCCTCTGCATATGTAGGAGGAGGGTAAGGGAAGTTGTGGAATGGTCGATGCCTATAAAATTCATTAGATCTGACCAATGAGCAGTGGCGGCGCGTGGTCATTTTGACAACCGGGGCAAGCTACTGCGGGACCAAGTCACCCCCATCTACGGGGACAGGATGAGCGCTGTAGGTTCTCCCATCATTTTATGAGTATAAAAACCATTCCATCGGTAACAACCAATCGGCAAAAGGGACAATTTTTAACGATAAGAAAGTGTCTTTAAAACCGGTCCAAGTCAAGGGATTAATAAATATAGACATAGTTTATTTTGAAACCTCTTTCAAAAGGAAAGGCAATATTTACCCAGATAAATACAATGACATATTAACAGAAACTTCGGGAAAGCAGACAAAACCTAAAATAAGGTTTAAGACGTTACTATGAAGAAAGGAAAGGTAATGCAAAGATAAGGACATGCGTCGCTCACTCATAGATATATATGCTGCTAGACTTCTACTGCTTGAACATATATGCAACACGCCGCGGTTTCTTGGAAGCAAAATGCTCAATAACGCGCTGATTAAAGTCATGCATCCCAGAAATAACGTCTCTGTGAATGGATAAAACAGCCAAGGAATTTAATCTATCTTGCTTCATTGTGTTTCTGAGATACGTTTTAATACGCTTCAGCGTGCTGAATGTTCGCTCTGCGTCGGCGGAAGAAATAGGCGTCGTCAAAATGATGTCCAGAAATTTTGCAGACGCCGCAAAGGTAGTTACTAGAGTGTTATCTATGAGGAACCCATAGAGCGCGCAAGTTGATGTGATGTTC